GCAAATTGATCCATGTAACCCCTTTTAATGTTTATTCTGTTGCCAATATCGGACTGCCTCCAACTCTGCCGCTTAGAGAAGACCTAAAAGTGTTTTCTTTGATTTCGCTTCATCTGCAATATTTGATTATTTTGTAATGAAGCGATTTTTTTTTTTTTGCACTGCTTTACTCCAGAGGTCATTAGGATGACAAACATCTCTTGGTTTGGTGTTTTTTGGTATTAATTTCTCTAATTTTACATGTCAAAGTCAATTGGAGAAGTACTACTGCTGTGCTGGTGAAATACTTGTTTAATGTGTTTGGTGGCTCTGGAGGAGTTTTTGTTTACTCGAGTGACATTGCTTGAGAAATGATTGGTCTCCACAGAGACTGTAATTACAGAAATACTGCATGAAAACCTGGCCGTCTGGGGGTTTAATGATGTGGGCTTTTACAGAGAGGGGGCTCTAAAATACTGATGCAATCATGGGAAACATTGCTGTTTAACATGGGAGTCATACTGCCATAGACTAATGGCCCATTTCCATTGAAAAAACTGTATACAAAAGATGGATGTAGCTGACATGACATCACTGCCTGGTATTTCTGATTACCATATTTTTCAGACCATAAGGAGCATTAAGTGAAACAAAACAGTCAGATAAGTCAAACTTTACTCAGCTTCTTCTTCTTGCTTCCTTCTCTTCTGTACCATTGATTCATTAATGTTGAATCCTCTCACAGCTGCTCTATTCCCATGTTGTTGCAGTATATTAATGACTAACCTCGTATTGTGGATGGATTATCTCAGTTGTTCTCCTGACTGAAGTTTGGTCCGTTTACAGCATCCTGCCATGCGATTGCATTTGTCTCTAACCATCAGGAACCCTCACGTGAACTTTTATCGAGTGGAAAACTGTTCGCGTTCATCCTTCAGCTTCACTATGTTTATGCTATGCTAACATAGCTGTGTTGCTAGCGATCACCTAGCACATCATTATATAGCAGCTAGCCCAACTTCAGTAACCCTACAAACGTCACTGCTGTTTAGTTTTCTGTCTTCATTTATGTTGGAAGTGACAGCAGAGCTGTACGTTTGAATTTATTCACAAATCTCTCAGTCAGAACATGCTATATCATGTTTAGGTGGAAGCTAGCGAGCTAACTTCCTGCTAACTTCTAACTCTGTTAAATGTAATCAGTTCTGTTTTCATGGATGCCTGGATGTTAAACTTCATAGTTACACCTGGTAAAGCAGCAATGCTGATCATTTTATTAAAGATGAAAGAATTTAGACAGTTTTTAACTCCCAGTGATGCTGCAGTGTTCGTTTGAGTTTGGGACCTGAATCGGACGGAGTTTAGGACCCAGGACTCCGCGACACTACGGCAGCCGTAATGCTCCGACAATCCATCAGGCCGTGCGGCTTCGTAGCTTAGCAAAGTTGTACTAAAACATTTTTTGACAGATTTTTGAGCGCCATGTACCACATAAAATTGGTTTGAGAATTCACACATAAGATACACTGTCGATTTTTGAGAAAATTAAAGGCTTTTAAGTGCGCCTTATAGTGCGGAAAATACAGTAGCTAACACTTGCGATCGCTGTTAACAAGCTTCATCCATACTGTATGGGTCACAAACAAACGAACATGTAGAAGATTCAACTTAGTTATAAAAAAGAATTCATTATGGAGGTTTTGATTAACTGTGAAGACCACAATAATTTTTTGTACCTGACTGGAAAACTGTTTACCTCGACTGTAGGACTGTGCATTTCAACATTAAAGTCTATGTGGATCAGCTCACCGGAGTCAGCCTCAAGTGGCCTTTACAGGAGCTGTTATTTCTGCATTGGCTTTATTTGTCAACCACGAGGTGGACGCTTGTTTATGTAAACCACTGAATCAAATTTAAAGACAACTGCAGCCAATGACACTGTTCCTATGGATGCAAATAGCTTAAATTGAGAAAGCATTAGAACACACACTCTGTCATCTTTTGAAGTTAAAAGTCCTTGAACTCAATAAATTGGTGAAAGCCATTCAAACCTGGCTGCTTTGGAGCACTGGAATCTCAACAAGTGATAAAGTGGGATTTGTCACATTATGCTTGATGTGCTCAGCCAGAATAGGCCTGAACAGTGAGGATACTTTCAGTTTTTAGCCTTTTTTGTTGTATTTTTTTGTTTTAAGCTAAGGTAGGCAACATGTTTTTTGCACCATTAGACGAAAATCCATTAAAAGCTTTCAGCATATTGAAATGCAATTAGTCTGAGAGAGAAGCAGACCGTCGCACCTACTCTGGCCTGTTTTTAAGTAGGTGACAATGATATGAGACTATGGCCAGATGGCATAATCGATGCTTTGTTCAGCGCGAGTCCGGATGGTCGACATCAGTCCATTACACAAATCAAAGCCCTAGATGTAGCTATAAAGAAATATGTATGCTTCAACAGATTTATATGTTTTTCGTTTTTCTTTGTATATGTGCTGGTCTTTCCAAAGATGCGCGACTGCAGAGCTGTGACTTTCTGTCCATCAGCATTTACAAACATTAAAAATATGTGGCGGAAACAGATCTTTTAGATGAACAGACTCTGTCCTAGCAGCGAGACATGAGTTTATATTGTGCCAAAGTGAGAGTCTAGGTCCATGTCCTTTAGTGATGGCAGGGGAGAACTCAGGGCTGGCCTCAGGTCTCCATGCCCCATCTGAAGGTGTAGTGAAGCTGTTGGCATTGTTGGATGTGTCCTCAGAGGATGTTGCCGATGCGTATCCTTGCACTGAGCTTCTTGTGCCCCCCTGGCCTCAGGGTGGGTTTCATGACAACAAGCAGTACGGTCCCACATCAAGCACATCCAACACAGCAGCCTGTCTCTGCCTGTCTCACACCTCACTGTCTGTCCTCCTCTGTCCCCAACCCCATCCCCTCCACCTGCTGCCTTCCAGGAGCTGTTACAGATAACCAGTTGCCTTCACCTGCAGAGACCTGTTATCGTTTAAACCTCATTTACACTCCCACATGGAATCCTGCTTTACAATTGCTTAAAATCTTTAAATTGATGAATTGAATCAAAATGTTTTCACAGTTTAAAATATTTAAATTACATGAAGTTTTTTGGTAATGTGATGGATAGTCCTGTTACAGGTTTCACATTATTCCTCTGATCGATGGGGGACTGTACCACAAAATATTGTAAAGCTTCAACAAAAGCAATAAAAAGGCTTCATGCAGGTTACATGGATGCAATAAATGCAGGATTTTCTTTGGGTTTTTTCAGGAGCTTTTTCAGGAACTCTGTGCACCACGAAGATATTTTAGAGTTTTAACAAGAACCAGCAAGAATAAACAAAACTTATCCAAAAGAGTGCAAAACTGAGTTTCCATTAGCATATTGTTATGTTTGCCACACACTGGGAAACAGATCAGTTTGTATAGTGTTATTTTTTTCCTCAGTGAGACAACAAATGCCTCTTTGTGTTCTAATTATTGATGATTGTGTTTTCTGTTGTTGTTGTTGTTTTTTTTTTATTGTGATGGGGTAATCATATTAGTCATAGAAACTGAACTGGAATAGAAATAAACGTCACTGCACACATGGGGAACAAAGGTACCTTCATGCTATGAAGCACAAACCTCTATATCAGCCTACTGCCAATATACAAGACAGAGACATAAACTAGCCAGAATTTCTTTCCATTTAATTTCAACAAATAAGAAAACAGTAAAACGCTCACATCTAAGAATAAAATTAATTTTTATCTAAGTTGTTTTTGTGTTGACCCAGACTGTCTCCTGATATTGTATCGTAAAAACTAGATGAAACCTTTACCTCTAGGGAACTTTTTTTAAAACCACCCTGAGAGCCAGTAATTAGCTCTAAGAATATTCACAAGTTATTTCCATTCAATGGTTTTTACTGTCCCCTTATTTTCTTCCTAAAACATCGCACAACTACCAGCGGGACTGTTTGATAGATGTGTTGCATTGAAAAGGGACGCTGTGGTGTGAATACCTGAAATCCCCAAAAACTTGGCGAGCTGTGTGACAAGAACAAAATGCAATGATTTGCAAACCTCATAAATCCGGATTTTATTCATGGTGAAACACAGAAAACAGGAAGAGGAATGACGTCCCCTTCTTGTCTGATATAGGACTGTAGATGCTCCGGTCCATGATGCTCCAGAAAGGTCTGGACTGCACTTAAGCTAGTTCAACACTGGACTCCTCTAGTATGAAGTCATGCTGTTGTTTTAGGTGTTTGTTTTTTTAGGGATTTTTTCACCGTGTTTACTTCTTCGAAACTCTAAGATGCTCCTTTCATGCCCACTCATGTTACTCACTGTTTACCAGTTAACAAAATATTCCTCCAGCTGTTTCTTTTTAGTACCACTTACTTTTCCAGCCTTTTGTTGCCCGTCTCTCAACTTTTCTCAAAACATGTTTAAAATGAGCAAAAAGATTTCATGAAATAAAATGATGTTTAGACTTCTTTGTGAGGACAGAACATTGGGATCAACAGTCACTTGTTGCAGCGGTCCCCAACCTTTTTGGCGCTACGGACCCGTTTATGTCCGACAATATTTTCACAGACAGGCCTTTAAGGTGTCGCAGATAAATACAACGAAATAAAACCAGTACCGGTACCAAAAAAAAGAAGATTTATTCAAACGATATAAAACTAATGATAAAAACTGATTAAAACCCCTGAAAACCATGAATTTCACACCCGAGCCTCAACTCTCGCAGCCCGGTACCAAACGACTCACGGACCGGTACCAGTCTGTGGACCAGGGGTTGGGACCGCTGGCTTCAAAATCCCCGTCCTCATGAGTTTGAAGGCATTTTTGAGGCTCAAAATGTGGTTTTAGTGTCAGGATTAGGTTATGGTCAGGTTTTTCACTCGTTTTTGATGGTTAGGGTGAGCAGCTAGGGAAAGCGTTATGCCAATGAGATGTCCTCACTGAGATATGAAAACAAGTGTGTGTGTGAACTGACTGAATCCTTCTCGTTTGCAGCAGAGGACATTTGCAGCCAGCCCTTTCTCTGATCCCTTCACGGTGAAGATCAGTGGGGTTATTCGACAACCACAAGAAGACCCAGAGATGCTGTGGGTGATGGGTCCGGTGCTGGCAGTCATTCTGATTATCATTATAGTCATCGCTATTTTACTCTTCAAAAGGTGAGTATGACACACGCAACAGCGGACACAGCGAGGACACACACTGGTTATTTTTGGAGTGACGCCTCCAACAGATGCAGAAAACATTAATCGTTGATCACATCAGACTCATAAAAATACTGAAAACACTGTTTTTTACAAGCACATTTTAATTTCTGTTAACATTTTCCTTCACAGGGCCTTTACTGCTTTGACTTCAGTGAATATTCAAGTAAAGACAAAGGTTCCTGTTTTGTTAAAATGCTAAATTATTAAATTAATGTAGTGGATCTATCAGTGACTGAATATGATTTTAATCAGTTTTAGTACATACCCTAATTTGCAATAGTAGGAAGGAAGAATGTCTTTTTAAGAGGAAATGATCGCAGCAGAACCAGGCGTAGGAAACAGCAGCTTTATGGAACGTGTCAGGGTAAAACGAGCGCACAGAGATAGCAACAGAACCCAAACTATGGAAGACAAAGGACGAAATGTAATGATATGCAATACAGTAGAAAACTAATACTCAATACATGATGGGAAGTCCTCCATCGGGCTGAGCCTGTAGTGACATATCTAAGAGATCGTTCAAGATGACCTGATTCAGCCCTAATTTTTCTTTATTATCAAAAAGGGAAATTTTAAGTATGATCTTAAAAGTGAAAAGGGTGTTTGTCTCCTGAACTCAAACTGGATCCACAGGAAGGATATCTGAAGCTCTGTCTCCCATCCTACTTTAAGGGATTCTATGAACCACAAAGAAGCCTGCAGGCTGAGAGGGAAGGGCTTCACTGGGATAATATGAATATGAGGTTTTTAAGATTATATAGCACCAAGTCACAACAACAGTCACCTCAAGGTGCTTAATATTGCAACGTAAAGACCCTATAGTAATACAGAGACTGGTTAGGGTTAGGGTAAGCAGCTAGGGGCCCTCCATGAACAGTGGGAAGGAAAAACTTCCTTTTAACAGGAAGAAACCCCTGATAGGACCAGGCTCAGTGAGGGGCGGGGCCATCTGCTGCGCTGGTTGAAGCTGAGGGGAGGGAGACAGGACAAAAGACACACTGTGGAAGAGAGACAGAGGTTAATAATAACTCATAATTAAATGGTTTATAAACAAATGGTGAGAGAAGGAGAAACGCTCAGTGCATGATGGGAAGCCTGTGGAGGGTGAATTCAGGGTCACGCGATCCAGCTTTAAGCTCTGTCAAAAAGCAAAGTAAATGAAGTAAATTAGTAAGACACCATTTCCTCTCCATCTTGTGAGTAATCTGCTTTAAAGTTGGTATTTGAGAGTGAGACCATGGTGTCACGTCACTGGGCGCTCTGATAGTTCAAGACTTTGAATGTGAGCAGAGGAGAAAAACTAGAAAGATCCATTTTTCTAGTTTTTCCTGAATCCTCTCACTGCAGCATTTTGGTGAAATAACAAAAAATGGAATACACTCACATCTAAATTACTTTTTCTAGTTACCGCTTTGTCATTTCAGTTAGCAGAGCAGTTTGTTCATATATATTTTTATAAACTTTATTTAAAAAAAAAAAAACGTTTACATGTCAAACTATCAGATGTAAAAAAAAAAAAAATTACACTTTTATTCCCTGAAACTAAGTAACAGAAGCATCAGGATACAGATGATCCTTTTTTGTCATCTGTTGTGAGAGAAGCAACACTTTTGGTAAACCTTGGAGGCAGTACATGCTCATTGTGTTCCTCCTCATATCATCGAGCTGAGTCCACAGAGAGACCTGAAGCATTTTCTTCAGCACAACAGATGACAAGAAGATTTTATTAGAACCGAGTGCCAGGAAACGGTCAGAGTGGAAGATTTTCTAGAATAGAGACAGACATTTGTCTTGTTTGAGCCGGCCTGAAGGCAAAGGTCCTCCATGGCATATGGGAGGGAGGTGCTGCGAGCTACCTCGCGGCCCTGCTCTTCAAGCCTGACAGTTGGCTCGTGCTTCCTGTTCTTGGGTCAAACATCTGGAGTTACTGACTGGGCTGACGAGGGCCTCTATATGGCTGCTGCGCTGCTCAGAGGCACAATTTGTTTTGTCTTTTTCCTCATTCTTCCTTTTGCTGTAGTCCAACGTCAAACAAAATCCTTTGTTTTTCCAAGATCAATTTTTTTTAGTTAGGTAAAAAATACATACAAATATAAATATTGCCTGAGATTGTGAAGACTTGGTGACATTTTTAACTAATATTGACATATTCAGATATCTTAGAGTTACTAAGACTTTAAGTGCGTCTAATTAAGGGGTATTTTAGATTGTTGGGTGTGTTTTTACTGTAAGCCTCACATGATTCCATTTATTTTGAAAATCATGAAACTTGAATTAGGTCATTAGTCACAAGAAAAGTTTTCAACACAGTTAGCTTATGTATACCAATATCGACTCATGCATGCTAAACTGAAATATAAAGAGGCTGCTTGGTAGTTTCACTTACAAATTTTTTTGAGGGGAAAACTGATGCAAAAGTTGGAATTAATACCAACCATAGAAATGGATAGCCATGGGTTTATGACCCAGAAGTGACCAGAAGGTGCAGTGTTGTTATTAGCTTAGCCAGGAGGCTAGGTTAGCATGCTGCATTCATAAACTATACAGGTCCAATTCACAGCCAGGTCCAACACAAATTCATCCACCACACGGCTGCTATGAAGAGGGGAAGTTTTTTGTAAACATGTTTATTTCTGCTGTAAGCTTCGACACTTTCACTCGGGAGTCTGTGACTCTTGGCTGGCTTTTAGAGCCAGTCTCCAATGACCATTAGAAGAACTTTGGTTTTTGGCCCTTTCAGCACTGTGGGTTGATGTTTAGAGGAGACGGCTGCTTCATCACGTTCCACAGACTGTGAAACCAGCCTTCCATTCAGGTTACAGTAATTTGTTCCAGGTTGCTCTGTGGAGATCATTAGAAATATTAAAAACACTCTCTCTTTGTTCATGAACTACATCAGATTTTATTAGAAAATGAGATCAGGTCAAAGATGAGATGAAGGAGTAGTTTGTGAGGTGAAGCAATGAACTCTGTCAGGTCCTCTGACGACTTGTAAATGAATCCTCTCTGTTTCTTCCTCCTTGCTAACTGTCTGCCTACTTTCTGTGGATGCAGCAAACAAGAAAGGTTAGTGCTCCTGTCTGTTTCCACCCTCCCACCCTCCAACCTCTCCTGCCTGCCCTTGCACATCGTGCATGCTGTGTAAACATGCTTTGTGGGTCAGACGTGTCTACATTTGCTGACAGTGATGATTTGAAGTGACAGATACTTGTTTCTGTTACACGTTCAAATCACAGTCCCACGTCAGTGTCTGTGAGCTGTCTTCTTTTTGTTTGGTTTTCAGGCATATCGGCTTCAATTGACAGCCCCTCTAAGCATGTGTGTCTTCAGTGTCAGCGTGTGAGACTACATTTTAGCATGTTTGTCTCTTTGTGCGTCTGTTTTCTGCTCTTCAGCTCTGTGTCGAGTGTCGAGTTCACAAATCCGGCTGATCTTTCCCTCCAGAATAATTCTCCCTTCATGCTTTATTCACCTCTCAGCCCCTCACACACCTGCAGAAGCAGCCTTCAAAACAAATTGTAGACATGGAAAAATCGAATCCTGATATCACCAAGAGGCAATAACTGACATCACAATGGCACTTCACTCTCCTGTTTGTGTTACCTGCAAAAATCATGCTGAATACACACCTGTGAATATATGTGTCACGTATGCGTGGGCTGATTGATGATGTATGGGCTCCATTTACTTTCCACAGTCCCTAATTCAAAATGTATAAAATATATATAATATCCGTTTATCAAGAGATGTTTTTAAATATAAGGACGTTCTGTTTCAAGGTGAAACACTCAGGTTTGCCTGCACTTCAACCCTAATGTAGTTATTACATTTAAGGAATGCAAATTAACGGTTCATTTAAAGGGGCTATAGCTGTTTGAGCTGAGCAGATGAATTTTAGTGTCATATTTCTGTTTTAAAGGAGTCATTTGCATTTCTCATTGTCTGTGTAGCAGCCGTGCAATGCAGTCTCGTATCGCCACATTTCCAGAGAGGGGGTGTTGAGTTGCCCACTCTTTATTTGCATAAAGTTTGGGTTGAGGCTACTTTATGCAAATCAGGTGTGTCTGAAAATCTTTGAAACAGGCAGCTGATGATCTTAAATCAGTGTTTGAAAAGTAAATGGAGAAAGCTTCTACTGTGCAGTTCAGTAGCATACTGTAAATATTAGGTCATACTTACACGTTTAATATTCCCAAGTACAACAGATACTTCACTAATGATAAAGCCCTGTTAAATAAATACCAACATGAGCCACTAACATTTGAACTGATTTCACTCATTTTGTTTGGAAAACTGTGTCATCAGAGAAGGGTCTGGATGTGACTCATCTGGATGTCTAAGGAGTTTAGAAGTGCTGAGAAATAAAAGATGCCCTTTCAACCAAATTGAGCTATAACAGGATGTATTTTTCTGGCTCGCCACCTTTCGCTTTTTAATCAATTCTTAATGTTCTTTTGATGCTTGGTATGGCGCCTTCAGCGTCGTCTTTGAGCGTCGTCTTTCAGTGGGTTTTAGCTGAAATTCTGTGCAACCCTGGAATCAGGAACCAAGACTGGACACATTGTTACCCATCGACAGATTTTATTCACGTATCCAGTCCAGGGTCAAGTGACTGAGTAAACTTTAGGTTGCTGGTCTGTTTCAGGAATTATATTGTTACTGATTTTAAGTCTGTGTTTATTGTTTAGTAGAAACTTTTCTTGGGCCATAAAATAAAATTTAAAACAAATACATTAAAATTCCTATAAAATTGAAAAGTCAGAGCAAACCAGCTCAATATTGCAAATAGGAGGACACTGCTTGCAGCCAAAGTTTTAGTCCTCAGACATTCTACAACGCTTTTCATCATCTATAAAGTATGCTCAAATTACGTGTAATCCTTATTGTTTTTTGCACAGTAGCTTGTTGCAGATTCTTTTTTCCCAGTATTTTCCAGAAAATAAAGTTTAGAAATTTGCTCATTCGGAGTCATTAATACCCATTTGGCCTGTTGGTACATTATGTAACGTTAAATTGGTTTTGCTTTTTCTCCAGGAAACGAACGTCTCCAGCCAAGGATGAGCACATGGCAGGAGTGAAGGACTCGCTGCTGGCCCACTCGTCAGATCCTGTGGAGATGAGGAGACTCAACTATCAGACACAAGGCATGGACACACAAACACATGCACATGCAAACATTCAGCCCCATAAACAGACTTTTACTGAGGTCTAAATTTTTACCAGTTGCATCCAGTTTCTGTTTCTAAAGGTGCTGAGAAATTATCACTGAAGGATTGTGTTACTGAATCCATTGACACCCAGAAATATAATGAAGGATCCTGTTTTTGAGGTGACAGGTGACAACTAACTGTCAGATTCAGTTTCTCAAGTATCAGTGTCACCTCAGTCATTTTTGGATGAGACTTACACGGTTTTAAAACTTGTGTTTTAGTGTCTGTGCAAGAACATGAAACAACTGCTTTAGAAAATATCTTCATTCATATTTGGCACTTTGTCTCCATGTTGTTGTTCTTTTCACGTCAGAAGTGATATTTTCATGAGAGGGTGGAGTCCTAAGTTAGCAAGTTTAGCAACGTGATTTTAGAGATTTTTTTTTTTAGTTCAGTTTAATTTCATCAGTTAAGTTTTACTTACATAGAGCCAAATCACAACAACAGTTGTCTTAAGGCGCTTCATATTTTAGGTAAAGACACAATCCCAACAATCAGACGACCCCCTATGAACAAGCCCTTAGCGACTGTGGGAGGGAAAAGTCTCTTTTAACAGGAAGAAACCTCGGGCAGAACCAGGCTCAGGCTGGTTGGGGGTGAAATTTTAAGAATGCCTTGCTCAGACACAGACTGACTGACTTTGCATTCATTCCAGTAATGAATGCAACGTAACAAATAAATCACATTTCTTGGACAGTCAGTTAATCTAACCATTTTGTTTATCACATACTTTAATTAAAAATGTGCCATCACCACACACACTGTCAGGAGGGCCATATATTAGCATGAATTTAAACATCTAGTGCTAATTATTGATGCAAAACTGAAAAACTGACTCCCACTCATGTTTGTCACAGTGATTTCATTCACTGCCTCCTATTCCCTTACTCCGTTACTTTGAAAACGTGGCGTTAAAACAAAGTGTGTGTGAGACATCATACTTCTGCATTTTGTTAACTTCATTATCGTGCTGTTAAAGCCTGGGTGGCATATTGTTTCTGGGGCAGCCGTGTCTCCTAATGCATGTTTTTGGAGGCAGGAAGTCCGTCTATAACTAAACAGTTTTCAGCTGGCTTAGTCTGATGTTTATTTCTGAGAAAAATGTCTGATTTCCATCCATAATTTTCATGTGAAAAAGCATGTAAACACTCTAAGGTTGTGTGCATCGGGACATAATAAAACCAAATCACCTGGTCTGTACCAGGTTCTAAAATTAGATAAGTACTCTGCTGGTCAAAAGTTTCAGAAAACCCCACTTTTTCCTGTTTTTATTGAAAATTATGCCATTTATTGTCTCATTGCACTTTGAAATGAAAGTATAGTACAAATAAACAATTGGAAGCAAGAAATCTTGGAATCAATTTATAGACTGTGGTGGGGCGTGGTCTGCGATGCCGTGCAGGGAGGGCGGACGCACCTGCTCAGCATCCGTAATCACACCCGCCGAGTTAAAACACAGGGACTCAGGTGTGTGTGGTGTTGTTTCGTGGTGAGAAGTGTAAATAAAATGGCTCTGAATGTTGATCTGTGGTCCCGCCGTGCCTTATTCTCACCACATAGACCAAAATGTATTCTCCGCTTTGACTCATCACAGTCGCCTCCTTTGGCTGATAACAGCTGAACACACTTGTGTCATTCTTTCTACAATAGAAATCAAAGTTGTTCCCATATCTGTTGCAGAGGTTCCCATAAATGTGTGGCACACTGCTTTTATTTTAATCCAGAACACCTGCAGAAATCAGTAACACCACCTTTCGAGGCTTGATCAGCCTCCTGCAGAACAGCTTTAAAGTGTTCACCCGTTTTGTGTTCCCTGAAAAAAGGACTTTTTGTATGATTGTGAAATACACACTATTTTTCATTTTGCTGTAACCTTTTAACCTCTGGCGGTTCATCTCTTACCTTTTGTACCGTTTCATTGGACTTGAACAACTTGAATTGCAGTAAAACTGGAAAAATGGAGGTGTTCAAGCTTTTCACTGGCAGTGTATAACATGTGATGTTTTAAACACATCATTACTAATTCGTCAGAGACAAATCTCTTCTATCTAATTTGAGAGCGTCTGTCCAACAGCTACAGGAAGCCTTGGATGAAAATGGCCCACAGAAGAAAGGGAATAATAACAAGAGCACCAGCAAATCTGTTAGGAGAAAAGAAAATAACCAAGATGTCAAAGCCCAGACCTCAACCTGAATGAAGTATAAAATCTTCAGAAAGCTTTGCCTTGGCTTAGTTTTTGTTGAATAAGAATGATGCTAAATTTGTAAGTTATGGCCTGATGCATGAAACCTTAGATTTTCTTTCCGTATGATTGTGCAATCAAAGACTAAATTTACCATGAAAGCAATTAGAGTGAGATATTTCTATTCAGATGTTCAAAAGGGAAATCGAATGTCTTCACATCCAGTGATCGTTGAGCTGTCCATTCACCCTGACCTCCTAGCGAGGACTTTGTCCCAGTAACTTAGTAACCCTTTATTCCCATAAGAATTACTTATAAACAATTAGTTTTCATATTTTTAGTCTGCATGCATACTGTAGCTCTGTTTTTCTGTTTTATCGTCTCTTTGTGTCCTCATTCATTCTCCCATCTGACTGTTTAACTGATTTTTAGCTTTGTTTTTCATCTGTTCTACGCCTCCCAGCATCTTCTCTTATCCTTTTCTCCCACCTGTCTTTCAGTGGGAAGTTTTAAGCATAAAGTATGTCATTGTTTTTTTGTCCACGTTCTTCTCTCTTGAGATGGGTGGCATTTACCTGTGGTGGCAGCAGCAGGAGGGATTTTGGCAGATGTTGTTTACTCGAGCATAAATTCATCAGCTCACTTGACAACCTCTGCACGCTGGGTGGCCTCGACGTTACTCATAACAAAACACTGGAAAAAATGACAGATGATATCATGATAATGAAGTCAAACTGTGATCTCTTTTTTTTTCAATAAAATGGAAACGCTCCACAACTTTTAGTTGTCAGTTCGGGTGACCGGGGCCATTTTACTTTTGTAGAATTTCCAGGTTCATATCAGGTAACAGAATTAAACTATGAAAATCTTCATTTCCCTCTTTAATATAATGTGTATACAACACATGATAATGTTAAAAAAAACAAAAAACAAGTAATGATATAAATTTATTTAAACTTCACACAGCTTTTTCATTTTATTTTCTACTTCCATCATGGACTTCCTTATATCACTCTACAGACAAGGCCATCAGGTGAACTAAATCAATAAAATACAAATGCTGCCACAGAGATAATCTGCAGTTTTTGGGTTGGAGTCCAAACTACTGACTCGTGCTGTATAATCATTGTTTTTTCTCTAGAGGTTTCTCCAGTTTAAATATTTGTCATTTAGTTCCATTTATGTCTGTCTAGCAGGGCAGTAAGCCTCATGTGCACCTTCTAAATGAATTGCAGTGGAATTAATGGACGATTTGATCCAGTATGAGTCACTGGGTGTTGTCCCTCAGTAGTTTTCAATTTGTTAACCAATCAGAAGAACGTAGGGTTTCTGAAACGGGAACAGGGTTTGAAGAGACAGGAGCTAAAGCAGGTTAAAGAACCCAATGCAGACAATGTAGGCAGACTGATTTAACAGAAGGCCACTCAACGAAGCTGACGCAGAGTTTAAAGACAATATAATCCAAACAAGCTCACGAGATCACAGAAGGAAATGCATGAAAGACTGAGGCAAAGATAGAACTATATATACACATGGAGTGATTAAGGGATTGGAGACAGTTGGGACAGAGGTGCAGACGATCAAAACAGTGAGACGGGGAAAGTACAAATAAACACAAAGCAGTACAACAGGAGCTAACTCGGTGGATGACCGCGATACACAAGCTGTGCTGAACAAAGGCAACTGTGAGGAAACTAAACTCAAATAACAGAGAACAGTAACTAAACACTAGCTACAATTCAAACACAACAAGAGATACACAAGGGTGCAAAAAGTTCACAACTTTAAAGAAATAAACAAAAAGTTACAATGAAACCAAACAGGAAACACAGAAACAACTCAAAGCTTCAAAGAATACATAAACAAACATGATACACAAGGGATGATAACGTAGTAACTACTAAACATGAATGAATGCAAAACACAAGGAGACACAAAACTGACTCTGCAGAAGCCACAGATTTAAAAAGTGTTATAATAGTTTTATCAATGAAGGGAAATCATTCACACAGGAATACACTAACACAAAAGACCAACAACGCTTTGTGTGCTTAAAGACTATGTTCGTTAATAAATGCAAGTCTGGTCATGATCTCGAACTCTGAGCATGTTACTACTTCAGCTTGAGCTAATTATTTTTGCCCTGCTTGTGAAACAATCAGGGCTGAAGGCGCACTCAGACACGAGCTGGTACTCACTGCTTCTGCTGTTTTTTAATTTGCTCCCTTCTGAGATAATGGCGGCCAAACTCGTTGTAACTTCCCACCAAGGCTCATTCTGGGACATCTGTGGCAACCGAAGAAAGCGCAGAGCAAAATAAGGAAACACGAGTCTGTATCTGAAAAAGAAAATCTCTTCTTCAGCACCAAACACATCACCATAAAAGTCTTGTTGGAACAACATCAAGTTTTAGTGTTTCTATTAAGCATTCACATATACAGAATTCACATATAGTGACGAGTTAATAAAATTGTTACATGTTACTAATGATTGCCTCTATTTTATGCTACACGCTGCTATTTTGGTTACAGTATGGATGAGATTGGAGTAGATGAGGATGCAGAGGCGCTGGATCAAAGCTCCAAAAACGCTCCAAACTTTCAGTGTTTTTGCTTCTGTTGCAACCTGACGTCTTTGCAGCACGTAGCTTAAATGGACACTCTTCAACTGTTAGGCCACGCCCAACGATGTTAGGCCACACCTAATCAATGTGCTCTCATGTAGTTACACATGTTTAGTCTTAATATTTGCACCATTTTGTAATATTTTGGAGTTATTTTATTCAAAACAAGCACTGTTGGAAATGAAAGTTCTCTCAGCAACATAATCTTAATCTTGGTTGGACTGTATAAAGTAGATCTGCTCTCCTATTTGCTGCAATCATAAATCAATAACTAAAACAACACCTTTGATCTCATGTCGAGTGTATTTATTGCATATTTCTTGCTTTAGCACAAAATCAAACTTAGACTTTAGTCCAATCAGTCCACAGCACCAAGGTCAGCCTCAATTGTGACAGATTTTCTTATGATGCTGCTTTCAGACCCATACTTCTAAATATGAAGGTTTTTGTTTTGTTGTTCCAGGTATCATTCAGCACATATGACATATATTGTTTAAATTATCACAACGAGCAATTTCAGGTTCAATAAACATTCATTTTACCCAAATGATTTTGTTCGTAATGTAGCAAAGACTGAAGTTGTGAATTAAGTTTGCAATAATTTTACAACACTGGCAAAAAACAAAAAGACGTTCACTATATTATTACTCGGGTGAGTTACTGAGGTCTTGTGATTGGTTATCGTGCCCAAATCCTTTTAGAAGCAGCCATCTTGGCCAGAGTCTGAGCAGCTGTTCTGAAGCTGCTGTTTAAATGAAAGTGAAAAGACAAAGTTCCTATTGGCACAGGGACAGTAAAACCACTTTAATACAATCATGACTTAAAGCAAATAAGAACAAACCAAAAAAAGCTAAAAGTTGGCTAAACGTTGGCTACTGCTGTGCATAGACAGGTTCCAGGACGTAAACATCTCAGTCCAGAGCATTAAACAGATACTGTGCTGGTTTATTATGGCTGCAAGTTTTTTTAAATGCATCTTACATATATTGGTACATATGTTTCTGGTTTCAGCTGTTTTTTCCTCTCTGGGACAGTAGTGAGAAAATCACCACTACAATAAATTTCAGGTTGGGTGTGATCAATGACTCTGTTACAGAGTCATTGATCACACCCAACCTAAACCAATGTGTCTGTGAGATGACGATGAACGTGTGTCTAAAAGAATGTCGTTTGCATTAAGATCTCCTTAGCAAATATGTAAAGTATACTTCACTGGGAATGAAGGACCTTCAAACACAGGGGTAAGGGCCTTTAAGTGTCAAGAGTAAGATGATGAGCTTCTTGAGGCTTTAATTCTCCTTGCCTAAAGAAATCCTCATTTTGAAAATGAAAAAAGGGAGACGTTTTATTCTTGGCAGCTGTGGTTAAACACAGATGTAAGAGTGCCAAGAACCAAACATCCAAAGGTGCTAATAACAGCAATGTTGGACCGAGACAGCCCAGTTTAACCCAAAATGGACAGCTGAGTCGGACCACTTCAAATGAAACCAAAGAACAAACAGATACGAAGCACAGTCAGTTTATTGATTACAGTGAAACTGATGTTAAATTCTTTTAAATGTTATTTAGCCATCTGGGAAAGTTGTGTTCAGCGTCTCTTAAGTCTTTGCTGAGTAGGGCAGCTCCTTCCTCACTGTTCCTTGTGTCCTCTTGTCCTAACTGACCCCTGTGCTTTGGTTTTGCCTCATCTTTCCCACACAGGTTCCAGTGTCCTCAGTTGCCCGAATACTCCAAGTTAGTTTTCAATCCTCCTGTGTTTTACTAATGTTTCCTTTCATTCCCGCCTGGTGCCCTTTTCTGTTTTACATAGAAGCCTTTAGAAGTAGAGACCTCCCATTTATCACCATCACCTTCTCTTCTCATGACCTGCCCATGTCAGCTATTTTACACCAAGTGGGTTTCATTAGCGCTAAATGTAGACTGTCTATCTAATTTAATAAAGCAATACATCTACCATTAAGTTAAAATATATACATATATATTTGACCACATCAGTTAAAAATGCTGTATTTTTTGCACCCCAGCCACCTTCCCACTCACCTACTGCTTTATGGGATTTCTTTAACCAATCAGCATGCTAGTTGGTGCTCATCTGCAGCGTGGTTACAGCATGCTGTTGAAGAGCTGCACAGCCAGACATCATCCCTCTGCTCAGCACACAGCACTCTCACTGTCACCTCATATCACTGCGACCAGTTAACACTGAGCCTTCAACATGCATCTGCACTCTGTGTGCGCACACATTTCTGTGCATGTGTGTCTGTGATGGACGGCACTCACCACTCTCGCTGTCTCTGCAGGGATGAGGGAACATCCTCCCATCGCTGTTTGTGACCTGGCCGACCACATTGAGAGACTCAAGGCCAACGATGGTCTGCACTTCTCTCAGGAGTACGAGGTAAATGTTCCTGCTCTTATACACGCCTTTCAAGTAAAGCAATGCACATTTCAGCCACTGTCAGTTATTTCAGATTTTATAAGCTAGTTTTCCGTAGAAAAAGACCTAGATGTGTAATAGGAAAGCCACAATTAGTGTGGCGTACAAGAGTGTGAGAATTGATCCTTCGTGGTTCAAAATGGAGAATTAGGTCAGTTGTAAATTGCCAGGTGTATTGCTGCGGACCTGAGTGAATGCAGTGCTGAGTTTTCAGGTTGTTTGGATCAGTTTTTCTGATGTTTTGGCTAAAAGTTGTTTTCTGTTACCAGAGTTTGCACTGCAGTCATTGCTGCATACTCTCGGCTGTGTGTAGAGGGGTTCACATGAACACAAAGACGTGCTCTTTTTGGCTTTGAACCTAATTTAGCTTAAAAAAATGTTCTAGCTTTTTGAGAAATATATTTTTTCTAACAAAAACAGCTGGATTCAGATGATTTATTTACCTTTTTTTGTTTGCATGTCTGCTTCTTCATACCAGTCTGCTCCTCTGAATAAGCACACTCTAAGCACACACATACTCAGTGAGCGTGTCCTTGCAGTTGTCCTCTTTTTAAAACAGAACAGTTCTTCTTCGCCTTAGTAATTGATTATAAAGTCACTTTAGAATAAGTGCTCACTTACGAATGTTAATCTCGAACTTTCTGGGTTCTAATTTTATGAGCAGCTTCTTCATCATCCTTCAGCCATCTTTAACTTGTTTTCTCTCGAGCACTTGAATAGTCTCAACCTCTCCTGTGGTGAAAGTCATCGTCTCTTTCCACCTTGATGACAGCCCTGTAGCTTCTCTCTCTTTTGTCTGGTTTGACGCCTCGTACTAACATGCTGCTCCAGCTACACCTGCATAGAACAATATTAGCTCAAAGGAAGCTTTGTGTGGGAGGTGCCAATTATGAGCTTAAAATAAGTCAGTGCTTTTTAAAGACAATAAATAAGTGAATTTCCTTATACTAGTCAACACTATAGATCAGTTGTTTGTTTTTTAAAAACTGAGCTGATATCAGCCTGAATAAAATACAGTGGCATAATATCTTTAGCCCCTCTTGAAGAAGTGAAGAGAAAATAATCTCCTTTGCTGACTCAAAACTTTCTTTTTCTTGATTTTTAGCCATCTTTAAACCTACTGTTTGTTTCACTCAGTCCACGTTTAAACATACATATTTACACAAACGCATCTGTAAAATCAGCATTTTATTTTGTAACTAAAATACCTCACACAGCACATTTTCCAAGAACCATTTTGCCCCCTGAGATGTTTTCATTTGTGTTGGCCGAGCATTACAGAGTTAAAGTTTAGATTAGCCAAAAAGAAGGATGCTGCTAAGTATGCATGACTTCTCTGCTTCCTTTCCAAGAATAATATTCGACTGCTTTTACCTACTGTAAGAGCCAGTGAGGGATTATGGCTTGTTGATGTCCTACAAAGGAAGGTAATTTGCATTTAAAGTGGTGAATTTCCAAGCGGATAAACCAGGACAGATGGGTGCACTGTTTATGCACAGCAGAAGGAAGGGGGCATATAAATTATGAAACAGCAACTGAATCAACTTTTCCACCTTTCCCATTTTTTCTTACCTCTGTGATGCAATGGAGGGAACTTTCTGCAGACAAGTTGTCCTGTTTGCAAAACAAGACGGTTCAGTTCAGATACGAACATTTTGGTTTGAATGATCTGTTAAATGTGATTGTTCAGATGGAGAAAAGGAAATGCACAAAACTGGGTTTAGATGTCTTTGAAAATGAAATTTGATTTCTGATCACAAAAGTGTAAACTGTTAAAAAACAATATCATTGTTATTGTTATGACAGCAAACTGCTATCTACATACTTTCTAGGGTATGTGACAGCTGTATCGCTTCAAGCATCCGAGAGAGACTTTTTTAGACATGTTCTTGTTTAGAAGATCATTAAAATGTCAGGTGGTCTTATCCATAAACCATACTGTGGATGAAACATGGATGCAGAGCACATTTATTAACTTTCTCCAAGACTTAGAATAAGAAATGCAATTATTCATTCAAATTCCATTTTTTAAAAATAAGTAATGAAGACAACAAGTTTAGTGTTTGTATCCACTCGTGATGACATCCTGAGTGTGTGATGTGTAAGATGCTTCTCAGGCATGTGCACTAAAGAGTTCATTAAACTTTGATCAGGACAGAAGTGACAGAAGCATAAGGTCTCACACACACACACTCACACACACTCTCACACACACACACACACACACACACACACACTCTCACACACACACACACACACACACACACACACTCTCACACACACACACACACACTCACACACACTCTCACACACACACACACACACTCACACACACTCTCACACACACACACACACACACACACACACACACTCTCACACACACACACTCACACTCACACACACTCACACACACACTCACACACACTCTCACACACACACACAGACACACACACACACACTCTCACACTCACACACACACACTCACACACACTCTCACACACACACACACACACACACACACTCTCACACACACACACTGTCCCCTGTCCTGTTGCAAAGGAGGCCCCCGTCATTAGTCCACAGTGAGAGCAGCAAGGCTTGAAATGAAAAGCTGATAATGGCTGTGTTTAAAATGAGACCTGCCAGAGGATCCCACAGCTTGTTACGTCTGATAAATGGGCCAGTCTGTTTGGGGACTACTGGAGACCACTTCATATAACGCATATGGCCCTGAAACAGTGATTCCCTTCATTAATGATTACATCTGCTATTTTGGCTGTATCAAATGGTTTGCACAAGTAAAACTTATTTTGGGCTGATGCTCAGGACTCCTTACAGGATTTCTAATATGATCATTTCTAACTCAACCTCAACATTTTTATTCGTGGACTCTTCTAGAGTAGTATGAGTCACAGTCGCTGTTAGTTTGTTCACTGCCCAAAACAAGACAGCCCCCCTCCCTCTGAATGAAATGTCTTCTGATTGGTTGTCCCTTAAAAAAAAGAAGTTTTGAAAGGATTACAGGCGGGGCTTCTGTGCTGACAGCTAGAACTGTGTGCCTGGGGTGAATAGACCGCACCCACCCTGATGGGTGCGGTCTATTCATCCAGACAATTTGGGATTCATCCTCAAGGACAATATGCAGACTGAAAAATCCAGGGACTAATAGATGACACGGGAATATCTTTTATAACATCGTGCAGATCAAAGAGTAGAAAACTCATTTCAGTCTGAACCCTGAGCTTCTGGCTTAAAGGCATTAATTATTTTCACATAGATTGACCTCATTATTTGAAACTGGAACCAGTAGAACAGCATGTGACTGAAAGGGAAAGGCAGCCTAACACAGCTCTGTTGAAAGATCTGTTTCATATCTGCTGCCCTCAGCACTGCCATGAAAACTGCCCACGCTGCTGCTCCAGGCCTTTTCCACCTCACAAACACCAGGCGAAACGAATTTCATTTGAGTCCCTTTAAATGTCTCAGTAAAGCATGGCAGTGAACCTGTGTGTACCACAGCCGGGCCTCCCATAGGTGCAACACAGTCAGCATTAAAGCACGTCTGTGTTTTTCTGCTGTGTCAATTATTAAAATGAATTTTTAGGATGGGCAGCTGCTCAGAGTGCATTAGAACTATCTCGGGTCACTTGCACAGAAAACATAACACAGGAGGAGATGTTTTATGCCACTGTCAGTAAATCATCTGGGAACTAATCGTATATTAAAAACTGATGTGTCTGTTGATGATGTTATCTAAAATATTTTTGCTGAACTTCCAGTCAATCACAAGTACTGATGCCTGTGCTGCAGTGTGACTGTCACTGCTTCTTTTTTATTTCATTTTCTGGCTTCTACTGACTGCACAGCAGGCGGGGTGGTGACAGTGGGGGGGGGTTTGAAACTTTGTTCAAAGATGAACCAAAAGAAACAAACCAAAACCAACACCAGCTGCCTACTGAGAAGGAATGTGTAACCTCTGCAATGCTGTGTGTGTGCACTCAAGATAATCTACACTTAACTACAGCTGAGGTGTTATTAATGAAGCTGTGTTTACATCAGGGCTGCCACGATTAGTTGACTAGTCACGATTACGTCAACTATCAAAATCGTCGACGACTGATTTAATAGTCGACGCGTCGTTTGAAGCTTTGTAAGATCACAAAAGACGCAGGAATAAGTAGCAGGATTTAAGAGTGTAATAACGGACTGAAACAGAAGATGGCAGCACTGCATGTACAAGGATGCCAGCTGCCGTTAAACTCCGAAGAGGAAGCAGCTGTGTCCCAGAATTCATAGCGCGGCCCAGCTCAGTTTCCAACAATGGCGGCAGCTAGCTAGTTTTAATATTACTCTTATTATTCTTTCTGGGTCACAAAATAAACGTTTAACATATTTTCAGGCGAGAATGTAGCTGTGTAAATCTCAAATATCTGCTCAGTTTATCAAGACACCGCATATTTTCAAAAGCGCTCCGACGTTTTCGGAGACGTCTGTTACCCACTAGCTCGATAGCGAGCCGGGGGCTAGGCTCACTAGCGCCGTGAGAACACCGGACTCCCAGCAAATCGTTTTCAAACCCACCGCCGTCTTTCGCTACTCAGGTTAAATATATATGAGTCACTTAGATAACTTAAAATGTTATTGTTTGGCTTTCTTTAGTATTTTATTTGTTCCTGAGTAAATCGGTTTGGCTGAGATTAAAGTTATAGTTTTTACACAGCTGAATAAACGTCAAGCAGACAGCTGATTATCAGAAGTGTGAGATGCTGGAGAATATACTCCGGTGTCCTGTTATATTTTAGATAGCAAGGAGTTTATTAAACTTCACCGAAACAATCTGCAAATTTCATTAAAATGTAATAAACTATCATCTTGTCTTTATTTTTAGTTAGCACAGACCTTAAACACTTAAAGCTGTAAGCTAATGATAGTTATATAAGAGCAGATACTGCTGGTGCAATAAGCTGTAGTTTTACATTCAATGGATGATGATCTGATTAGTCGACTAATCGCAGAAATAATCGGTGACTAGTCGACTATCAAAATAATCGTTTGTGGCAGCGCTAGTTTACATATGACATCAGTGTATTCAAGCTTTTTTTAATTTAGTAAAACAGGTTATGGGTTTAGTTTAAAAAAAGCTAAAGTTGAAACACAGAGTAGTAAAAACATCTGATATTACCTCTAATCTGAAAACTAAGAAAAAGAAAACTATGTTGAATGTCTGCAGGAATAAGATATGTTCCTTATACCAGCTGTATAATAAAAACATTACATACAGCAGTGACTAGTCAATCAAAATGTAGCCACGAACTGAAGCTTATCCAGCTGTACCGTCTCTTTTCCTCTAAATGAGACCCTAAATTAGAAAATGAACGTCATGTTATATTTAATAAGACGTGAAACTAGTTAGTGAGATTATAAATGTGTCCGGCAAGTGTTTCCTGAGGTGATGTATCAAATGAGCAGTGGGGTATTTTCACATACAGTAAGGTTTATCCTTTAGCCTGCTAGCGTTGCCTCAGACGCTGAGCATTTAGTTGGTCTTTGCTGATGGTCAGCATGGCTGTGTGTTTGTACAATGCACCAACTATGCACACGACCCAGGCAGCATAATTTAGGTGGACTTTAAGAAACTGTAACAGGAATGACTACTAGCGAGTCTCCAGATGTCCGTATCTGTAACAAAGTATAAAGTCTTAAAACATAGTTTTGCAGCTTATTTTTTCAACTTTTTGTGGCCATTGCAATGAATGCAAGTTTAAAACAGTACCAAAAACACAGGCGACATCAACACTCTAACCAAATGCATGCCTGCAGGAGGAGCGTAAAACTCCCGTAGTAATCTTGGCTGTTTTGTCCATATCTCCCATAATGTCTTTGGTCAGTCTAATCACTTTAGATTTGGAATTTGGTTTTGTAAGTGTTACTTGTGGCTAATGTTTGATGGTTTATGTTGCCAATACCAGTTTTCCTGTACATAGATAGTGTTTAAACCTCTACCGAGGTTAGATTGTTTGAAATGTACTCATTCGTAATCATGAATTTATGTGACTTTAACTCTGACTGAATGACATTCATAGTAGTTTCTTTTTCCATTCAGCTGTAAGCCGCACAAAACATCGCTGAGGGCTGCAATTAGCAAACAAGGCGTACTTGGAAAACCCTGGTTGTAGAAGATGTGAACAAAGAACACATTTATGTATGTTTGAACAACAGTGTGAAATAAAATAGATGTAATGTGTGCCTGTGCCGTTTGGGGGGATTTAGTGTATTAAAGGTAAATCAGTTATAAATTGCAGTCCACTAAATCTGCACACACTGAGTGTGAGCTAACCCTGTCACATGCATGTGCTTCACAGAGGCCTGTTCCTCTCTCTGTGTTTACCTGCTTTGTTTTTTTTGTTTGTAGAAGCGCAGATAGTGATTACGCTGTCATCGCAGTAACTGATCTACATGTAGGCGGAGCACATTAGCAGTAATGTGAGTGGTTTGTCAGTGCAGTGTACTGGAAGCCTTACCTAACAGGCTGTTAAATAAGATGTGCTTTCAACCTGTTTCCCCATTGTCATTATTATCAGTTGTAGAGCGCAGCGCTGAGCAGCTATGCAGCCAGTCAGAAAGAGAAAAAGCAGCAGGGTATTAGAGCCCTCGCCACCGATTCATTTTTCCCGTGCATCGGTATCTGTGTGTTTATTTACAAGTGTGTGTGTGAGATTTCTTTTTTTCCAGGTGATGGGAGATAAGCAGTTGGAGCATAAAAGATCAATCAAGAATAACAGTATGCAGAATGCCATTTCAGTTAAACCTGTGCCTGTGCTCACAGCCAGCAATCGATAGAGACTGTTAACAGGCAGTAAACCTGCCTGGTTCATATCAGCTCACGAGTGCAGCAGAGGTAAAGGAGGCAGAACGGCTCGCACGCTAATTGAAAGACTGGCAGGTTCCTCAAGTCCGCCTGTCAAAGTCACTGAACCCCAACTAATAGCCAAACCGGGTGATTAGGCAGCAACTTAAAAACAAATAAAGCTGACACTGGTTTCTTCATCAGGTCAAAATGAACTTTGTTCATTTGATTTGTGTTTCCTCCCACATTAAACTGAGGTTCTTTCCTTTGTTGGGCGACTGCATAAACAAAAAGCCGCTCAGTGGAGTCGTTAAAAACAGTGACTTTCTGCAGAGCTTCTTTAAAACAGCACATGTGGCGTGACCTTGCTCTCTAGTGCCCTTCTTATGTGTTGCTGGAAGTATTTGTGCCTTCTTCATGCACCTGGTTTGACTCAATAAACATCACTTAGTAATCCAATAATTTCCTTTTGACATGATATTTTCTGTTGGCCCAACCATGCATTCAACTACTGTTTCAAATCTATACGTAAATTGTCCAATGAAATTGTTCCGACAAGATGATGTAGCTAAAGGTTGATATCAGGGTAGCAAACATAATGTAGTTACTCACTGACTTCATCCTGCTCAGCTTTGAAATGTCACCTGAAGCAGTGACTCTGCACTACATATTTCAGCAAATTCAATTATGCAGCTTAAGTAGTTGATGAGTCATTCCTGAGCCTCTGATCATTATACTTTTGCATAATTTAGGCTTCAGCAGTAACTTGTTTTGCTGTTCTCCTGTGAGTCTCTGCGTCTCTACCTCTGCTCACAGGTGCTTTTCAGCCGGCTCATATAATACAGCGACCCCCATCTCACTAGAGTTTGACTGCTTTCCTGCCTCTGCCTTACTGTTGGTACCGAGAAATAAAATCGAACACAGGTCCTTATCTCTTCACTTTAAATATGATGCAAGTGGTCCCCATCGTTCAGTCTCATATGAGGAAAAAGACATGTCTAAGGCCATTGTCCTAAACCTCACCTCAGTGCTTTCCTTGATTCACCACACACCGAACCAGTAGGTGGGTGGGTGGGTGGATGGATGAGATTTTAGGAGTGGAATGTGGATTCAGGGGCTTAAAGATCAACCAGGTGATGGAGCTGCAGGCTGAAGGAGGGATGATGAATTTATGTCACATATATCGGCCTGCACTCTTCTCTCAAAGAAGAGTAAAGATGCTCTCTCACCCACCTCTCACTCCCAACGCTTGTGTGTCCAGTCTATTGATCCAGGACAGCAGTTCACCTGGGAGCACTCCAACCTGGAGGTCAACAAGCCAAAGAACCGTTATGCAAATGTTATTGCTTACGACCACTCCAGGGTCATCCTCACACCCGTGGACGGTGAGAAACAAGCAGTAGTCGACCTCCATTTTCTGATCTGCTGCCATTTGTTTTTGTTTGCTCATTATGTCCAACTGTGCTTCTTGCTTAAGGAGTTCCAGGTAGTGACTATATAAATGCCAACTACATTGACGGGTACAGGAAACAGAACGCTTACATCGCTACCCAGGGTCCGCTGCCAGAGACGCTAAGTGACTTCTGGAGGATGGTATGGGAGCAGAGGACGTGCACCATCGTTATGATGACTCGCCTGGAGGAGAAGTCACGGGTGAGCTCCATTCATTTCAGACAGTTTTTTATGGCCTGAACCTAAACATAAAGCTTTTTCTGGCACTTCCTTCAGGGCTATTTTTTGGGGGTTAAAGAAGTTATATACTCTGGGAGAATCTCCTGCGTGGGGCATCTGAAACCAGAACAACCTGAACAACCTCAAAACCAAGCGACCTAGACAAAACCAGATGAATAGAAGCACAAAAAGTGGGAAAGATGTCAAATTTCAAATCTGGAGTGGTGGATAAGAGACAGACAGTGGCTGAGGTTCAGCAGGCTAGACAGCGAGTAAGGAGAGAGGCTGGTGTTAATGGAAATAAAACGTTGTTTTCTGTCTGTTTTACAGCAGTTCCAATCAAAAACACATAATAAACACTAAACACACCTCTGTCTAACATGCAGGGACGCTCTGCTTGTAGCATCCTGTGCACTTTGGCTGTGTATGTTTGCAGACTTGCAGCTCTAATGCAGACAGAGAACAATAAACAATAACAGAACACTAGCAGCCTAGACCCACTGCAGCACAACTAAGAGAGCATGCAGAGTCATGTGATCCAGTCCTAACTATAAACTTTATCTAAAAAGAAAAGTTTTAAGCCTGATCTTAAATGTAGAGAGGCTGTCTCCCAAATCCAGACTGGGAGCATGTATAATGTAAGTGGACCTGGTCCCAGCACATAACCCTGTGATTCCATGTATAATATATATGTGGTTCGGTACATAATTACAAAAATAAAGTATATGAAGGAGACTCTCAAAAGAAGATCATTTGTAACCTTCATTCATGCTGTTTCTGTGCTGAGATGAATTCTGAATCGGACTCAAACATTTGTCTGCAGCTGATCAGTTCGGTGTTTGTCAGCTACGTTTTCAAAAACGTTTGAAATAAAAGGAAGGTTATAAATTGGTCTGTGGTTAGCTTACACAGCTGAGTCAAGTAAAGGCTTTTATAAAGTAACGGTTTAATTAGCAGCACCTTAAAAGCCCGTGGACTGTAGCCCATTAAGCAATAGATTCATCATATTTAAAATTTAAAAACAATAATTAATGGGGAAGCTTCTTTGAGCGGTCTTCTAGGAATGGGGTCTGAAAGCCACATTGATGGTTTAGAGGAAGAAATCTTTAACGTTATAATATAAGTAAATATCAGGAGTTATTACAGTTGCTGTACTTGACAGCTGTAAATGTTTTTTCACTAATAGCTGCAGTTTTATTTATGAAGAACTTCATGAAGTTTTTGCCAGTTAAAGTTAAAGGAATATGTCCAGTTGAATTTAGAAAACTACAAACTGCACAAAGTTGCCTGACACGTAAGTGACTGTGTGTGAACCAAGGGTGTCAGACTGCTTTAGTCCTCTGGCATCCATCTATTCACTTTCCTAATTATCAAGCTTAGGCTCACATGGACCATATCTCCTGGAGGCCATACTGGCTGTTCAGGTGAAATACACTCTGGGCAAGCTGATAGTCCCCATCACATGACTAATGCAGAAAGACAGACAAGCATAGACTCTTGCATGTGACCTATTAAGAATCACCAATGAGCCTGACACCATATCTGTGGACTGTGTGAGGAAGCGGGCAGAGCAAATCTGCACAGCAGCACCTTCAGGAACTTTCTTCCTGTGAGGCAGGAGTGCTTATCAGTGCAATGTTCTGCTACTACAAAAAAGTCTTCAACCATCAAGTTTATGTGTACCATACAAACTTCTGACACGAAGCGACCCCCAAAAAGAGCATCAGTTGCAAAAAAACAAAAAATCCCTGGTCAGTTATTTGTGTTGCTCCTTTTCGAGCTCCATCACTTTGAGATTTGGCTTGAAGAAACATATTGTGCTATAGCTGTATGCCTCTTTTCAGTTCAAGGACGTTTCACATCCACAGCTCCGTATCTCTGCTGGTATGTGGATACAACGTGACACACATTGGGCCTCACTTTAAACTCAGTAACGAAGCACTCGGTCTTCCTCCTCTCCTTCAGCATTGATGTTCATTTTTACTTCCATTGCCTGTTAACTATCGTGCTAGCGTGCAGGTGCAGTGGAGGTGAACCTGTCTTTTATGTAGAGCAAAATGTCTTACAAATAAAGTGGTTTTTGGGTTTGATGAAAATTTCAAAGAGGCATTATTGATTTTGACACAATATGTTGTAGTCATACAAAAACGCATCATCCCAGCTGATGGAGGGAGAGAGGTGGTGGCTTGCTGCAACCCATAATTTGAGAATATCAGAGCACAGTTGATATATTTTCTAATATTTTGCTCCATTGCTGTCTGGATGAAATTCATTGATTCTCTCACAATGGAAAATACATTACAAACAGGAGAATATAAGACAGGAGGCTGGAAGAGGATTGTCGATCCTCTGATTTACTGCTCTGAACGTAGCTCACTCGCAGTACTGATGAGCTTGGCTCAGCAGCAGCACGCCGCCTGTGGAATCACATGGCAGGTAGCAGGGTAGAAACGGCGTTCATGTGAGTAATGATGTGAAACCCTCATTCTCACTGTTAATAACTCCACAACCACAGGGCAGAGCTGAGTGCCACAGCACTGTGCCATTACTATTTGTGACAGTGGCCATCAGCCCTCTGCCAGAGCCAATAACAGCCTCTGTGGTTCAACCAGAGGCGCAGCAAATATTAAATGCTCTCTAACCTGAGAGCAGAGGTGACAACCTGTCTGTCCACACTTCCTGCTAATGTGCATGGCCCACAATCAAATGAACACATCCTGCCATTATTTACAGACTATACAATCAGAGGCTGCCATTAGACACACCAACAAGTTTCTCTTATTAGTTATTACATGCAGCTTCCTTGGCAATAATCATTTGGGGGCCATGTGAAGTAAATCATCCTGCAAGCTTGGGGTTGTGAGGGTCTAAGATTATGATTATGGTCTAATCTTGTGTAATGTAATCACTGAGTCCTTTTCCAAATCCATTTTCATATAGGAATGAATATATCAGGAGAATCAGGTGAGAGCATTGTTGAGTTCTCCATCCTTACATGTAGCATGCATAAGGACTTATTTTACTACTTTCTGTAGAAGCTGTTTCCACACAGGCATCACAGCCCTGAGCTTTTTCGTGATTATCTGATGGAGGAACATTAGAGAATCTAAATATCCATCACACCGGGCTGTTTCCTGATGTGTAGGAAAAAACAAATCTGGCTTTCACCCGACCCAACTCTCCCGATATTGCCGGTAGTTCATGTGATAAAAAAGGTATCCCAATGGCATGTATGTCTGGGCCTAATCTAGAATACTTATGGTACTTTTAGCTTTGATATAGCCCTGGTAAATGTGCTGTGCCCCAAATACCACAAGTTCCACCGTCTACAGTGGAACGTAGTTGAGGAAGCCAAACTTACCCTGAGTCAATACCATTCGTTTAGACCAACGGTGGCCAAAAACACTGCAAATAAGGGCCACATTTCAGGTGTCCAGGTCACAGGCCAGCAATCTCAGAAGAGATGCCCAGACCTCCCTCTCCCCAGCCCCCTCTTTCAGCTCTTCCAGAGGGATACCAAGGTATTACCTGAGACCAGACACCTTTAGAAAGGTGCTTGTTTCAGTCATGTGCATATATGATCCTGTTCTTTCAGTCACTGTCTACAGCTTGAGGCCAAAGGTAAGGTCATCTCCAGCTCTCTCTTTTCACCAGCTGAGTCCAGCACAGCAGTCACATCACTGCAGATACTGCACCAACCAATCTCTCTATCAACACCTACTCCACTTCCAACACCACTGGTTGTAGAGCTAAATAGTCCTTTACGTTGTCTCTGTTTGTAGGTGAAATGTGACCAGTATTGGCCCAGTCGAGGCACGGAGACGTACGGGATGATTCAAGTGACCATGTTGGACACGCTGGAGCTGGCTACGTACAGTGTGAGAACGTTTGCCCTCTATAAGGTAAGACCACCATGTTGCTGTTGATTCATTTAGTTACACAGATCACCAGGAGCAACTCAGGGTTCAGTATCTGGTACAAGGATACTTTGACTTGCAGATCAGGGATCAAACCTCTGACTTTCCAATTAGTAGACGACCAGTTCTGTCTACTGAGCCCACAGCTGCACAAGCGACCTCCCATCCAAACACTAACCAGGACCAACCCAGCTTAGCTTCCAAGCTCAGACAAGACTGGGTGTGCTCAGGGTGGTATGGCTGGAAGCCAGCGTCACATCTTAGTCCACTGGACTGTTTGAAAATTGCTTAAAAGTTAGAATCTTCTGTTGTTGAGATTAAGCTTCGTTAGCATACGGCTTAACTGTAACCTATCTCTAAATTTATGCTATGCAGTTTGGCAACCGCCTGGTGGAGGTTAAATCACATCAGTCACTATTTTTCACTAACAGTAGACCCAGACATATAAAAAATACGTAGAAAAATTAAACACCAATACTAATAAACTAAGTATCTGTATTTCCACCCTGTATATTCAGTTTACTTTCATCAAACAAAGGAGAGTCATTTTTTATCCGCTTGTTAAGTTTCGCTTCATCAGTCGTTTCCAGATCCTTCATTGTTCAAAAGCAAATAAAAACCGAAGCATAACAAAGAACGAAAACAAGTCCAAATTCTTTCAATTTCAGTAAAATGATCTGAGACTGCTTCATACATCCGAGGAAAAATGGAAACAGGATCATAATTTAATCACTTAACAAACAGATTGCTGAACTCTCGCAATTGCAAATCACAAAATGTCTTTAGCTCATGGACCTAATTCTGCTCACCAGTGTGCAAGTATTATAAACTAGTGTTTCCCACAGAACCTTTTTTCTCTGATAATCCAAAAGCCACATACTTTTTTATAAGGAACTGACAAAGGAGTCATTGGGATGCTAAAGACATGCTACCTTCTGGGTTGGCCTACAAAAAAGGTCATCCCTGCAGCACTCCGTGCTGATTAAGGCTTCCGCAGCTTTAAAAGGATAGAAAATATTCTTTCTTGTCTAGAAAGTACTTAAGAGTCTAAGCCAGGGGTGTCCAAACCTTTTTCACTGAGGGCCACATACATAAAAATATAGGAGGGGCGGGGCCACTTACTAGAAATTAGGTATATAACCTTAACTTTACTGTATTACTCTGTGTGTTAACAATAAAAATGCAGATAAGAAAGTGGTGCAAAAGCAGGGTAGTGACAGAATTGATGCGCATCATTGATATTTGAAGCATGTGTATCTGCACATGCATGCTTATTAACACACGGGTACTGTGGAATATATTTTTAAAGCGCTCGTGCTCTCGTCCACTCCCTGCAAAAAAATTAGCAGCTGTGCGGCGTCTGAGCATCGGTGCTCTCATCGCTTGCGATGGAGTAAAAATCAAAAGCACAGCTTTATCAGAAAGTTGCAGTTTAATGTTGGCTGACGAGTCTTCAGTGAGTCGCACGACTGGATTTCTGGACACGCTGACGTTGTTGAAGTTCTGCACTTTTTCGGACACATTATTTCGGTGACTTTAACGAGGCCGTGTTACATGGTTTCCATGTTTGATGAGGTCTCCATCTGAAAAAGGCTCGCCATGTCTCGCGATGAGTTGGGCGACCTCACAGCTCGCTATTGGAGCCTTTTCCTGGACAATTTGAGCACGAAATAAATACTGCTGCTGACCCTGCAGGAGAGTTACTTTCTGCTCTGGCTCAGCACCAGTGTCGGATGCACAGGCCTGATGTTTGGTTTCATAATGACGTCGTACATTATCCTCTTTCATAACTACCACAGTCTCAGTGCAGATCAAACAGACACGGTTCCCCTTGAGTTCTTTGAAGAAATCTTCACTCTCCCACCGTGTCTGAAATTTTCTGCACTCACTTTCTACTTTTCGCTTCTTTGGTTCTGCCCTGTTTAGTAACTTGGGGGTAAATTTCTTCTGTGATGTCCTTTTTGGTGGAGCAACTGCCTTGATCAACAGTAGCTCCCCCTGGTGTTAAAACTAAGAAGTGCAATACACTCAGTGCGGCTATTCTATTTATGAAATTACTTGCGGGCCAATTAAAAATGGACCGCGAGCTTGGACACCCCTGGTCTAAGCAGATTGTGGCCTTGGTGCCTGAATTGGGGAAAAAAAATGTGTTGTGCCTGATATTATGTTTGTCACTGATAAAGCTATGAAAACGTCATCATACACCAAGGACACTTTGTGTGCTTCTGAGTGCAGCTCAGAGTACATTTGTGATGCACAAATAATAAGAAGTTCTTGCATTAATCATTCAGATAATCGAATTTATGCCAGTGAATCTTTTAGCCTCATAATCACATTAGTGTGTTGGGGTCTGTTTTTATGAGTGACAAACTTGAGTAAATGTGTCAACAGAATGGCTCCAGTGAAAAAAGAGAAGTTCGACAGTTCCAGTTTCTGGCTTGGCCGGACCATGGAGTCCCTGAGTATCCGACCCCAACACTGGCCTTTCTACGCAGAATCAAGTCCTGCAATCCTCAAGATGCCGGACCCATGGTGGTTCACTGCAGGTAGACCTTATCTTACATTAACACAAATACTGCAGCATGCTCAAAAACTATTGTTTCAGATCATGTGACATTGCTGGAAACCATCTTCGTGTATGCAACTCTCAAACCAGTAACCAGCCCCCTTTAAGGGACATGCACGCGCTTGCATCTTGCAAGGTTTTCACAGCTACTCTGTGTGATATTGATTTAATATACTTATTTGCTTTGCCTGTTTTCTGTCTCCATCTGTTGATCTGTATTGTTTAGTAATTCATTCATTTATTTATTCAAGTCTTGTGTGAGAACGTTGTAGCTGAAGTCTGATATTATCCTAAATTTCTAATATTTTTTAACTTCGTCTCAGGCTAACATTGATCTTGTTACAAAACCAGCTGAACCTTTTTCTCAGCTACGGCGCAATCATTTTAGAACGAAGATAAAAGTGAGTTTTAAACACTGTTGGTACGTCCGTGCCTGACATTTGCATTTGTGCAATTTATTTCTCTATGAACACAAATGCAAATACACCAAAGTGCTAGAGGTGAATCAGGCAGACAGAGATGCAGCCTGGAGGAAGCTCTCACAGAAGCCTTTTCACCCCAATTTCCAGTGTAAACATTAATCTGCCTTTAGACATGCTTGGACAATAAGTCGCAACCTAGTTTGTTCAAAGCATACTAACACCTTTAAGCCAAGAGCAGCGATTCTGTTTAAATACTTTGCTTTAAGTGCTGAACGTTCCTCACAGCTAACCCATCAAAGAAAATGTGTTGTGCCGAAAGAAAACAGAAATCCTTCAAAGTGTTTTCGTACGCTGCACACAGCACACTCATGTTTACCAACCCAGCTGATCTGGGGAGCTTTAAACCAGACTTATCAAAGGAACAACAGGGGCAAGGATCTGAAAAGCCAGTCCAGTTTTCTGTAGGCAGCGTGCTCCCTCCCTGCTGTCTGAAGGACCTTCACACCACTTCTTCTGTGAAGAAGTGGGATCAGTGATTTCAAAGTGTAGCACTGAAATACTTCAGTATCTAAAGCTCATACTGCATTTAGTCTCCAACCTGTAATAAAGAAAAAGCAAAGCAAACGGAGGAAACTGGAGAAAAACAACTACTGTGCATATTTTACTCTACGCCCTAATGTGGCAGTGTGTTATTCATCATGGTCTCATGTGTTCACATACAACATGGTTTATAATTGAAATCCATTGATCTGTTTACAAGAATGAGTTAAGTTGGTCAAATGAACAGAAATGTATTTGATTCTGTAAATCAGAATACTGTACAGCCTTCCTGTTACAAAAGAATCGCCAACAACGCATTATTTCACTTTACAAAAAATGTCGTTTATTTGTCTTTAAATGGAGGGAACAGAGTCCCTTATGCTGGATGGATGTCACTTCCTGTTTCTGCTGTCATATAGTGCAGGAAAAGGGACCCAAATGCAGGACTCAGAAGCAGGCAGGGGTAAAACAGAAAAACACATTTATTAGGTTCATGCACAGAACCAAAAATAGTAAGTCCACTGGGGAAAGACGAAATACACAAACAAGCCACACAGGGAGGGTAGATAAATGCTAAGACATGGATAAAGGGGGACGGCTTGATTATAGATTTACACATGAGATAATCATGGATAATTGAACACAGGACAGGAGAAGTAAAACTATCAGAAAGACAAAATAAATAAATAGCCAAAAGAAGGACTATTAAATAAACAAACATCACACTACAACATAACATACAGTGAGGAAACACTGAGGGTGATAAGAATGGAATAAACCAAAATCACAAACAAACAAAAGAAGCCAGTCCGTGAGTATCAGAGTCCAAACTATGAATACTAAAGTACAGAAAGACCCAAACACAAAGCTAAGCCTGCAAAGTAAGGACTCAGACACCAGCAAAACACACAGACTCTAACATCTATACTTCTCCACCAGATTTATATGGCACCAAATCAGAACAACGGCTGCCTAAAGGTGCTTCATGTGACAATAATGCAGAGAAAAGCCTGACAAGCAGATGATTCCCTGTGAGCAAGCACTTGGCAACAGTGGGAAGGAGAAACTCCCGTTTCACAGGAAGAAGCCTGCGGCAGGACCGGCGTCAGGGAGGGGCGGGGCCATCTGCTGCATTGGGAGGAAAAAATAATAATATCGTTTATACGCTTTTCTTTGTCCTGGAAATGTTTCCGCTTTTATGCGGCTCTTGGCCAGCAGAACTCTTTCTTCTTCATTAGTCTGCTCTCAGCGAAGGTTCGTTTTAATGTCACGACATGCTGAACGCATGAACGAACTGTTCCCTCGTGATTTCATTCTCCTCTGCCGTCCTTTCAAAGTCAGCTTAAAATTCAAAACGGACACTGCTGAAGGTCGTGTAGAAACAGGAAGTGACATATAGCTGTCGTCAGGGACTCCCATGTGCCGCGGCAGCTTTTGGATGTTTGTTTCCTCCGTTTTTTATCAACCTGCATAAAACACCAGTTACAACATAAAAGGTACAATCTTAAAATGTATGGTTTCATTTTGCACTCTCACCTTATATTAACTGTTCAGGAACTTTCATTATTTTGTATTTAACAGTCAATAAAATTAAAAAATACAGAAACTGCTTTTTTATCATTTTAATAATCAGATACAATAATGTTCTACAAACAAGTTAATAACTACTACACTTTATTATGTTTGTTAATTTTGTTAACTAACAATTTATAATTAAATAACAGTGATTAAAAAAAATACCCATTTATTAACATTAAGGATGGAAACTGTTCTAAGGCGAGCAGGAAATAGATTTTTCTTCTTTTTTCTGCATCTCAAATGACTGGTCTGCTTATACTGTACAAATTTAGACACAAAAAGCAAATATATTTCTTCCTTATGGAACAGATATTACATTTCCATAAAGTCAGAGAACCGTATCTGGCTTTTCCATTTCCAATTCTGCAGCACAAATCCAGAATTCATATATTCCCATAAGGGGATGTTAGATATAAACTGCAGGTATTTTTATTTATAACACAATAAGTACATGAGCACGTATGCAGAGGTCCTGAGCTGCACTTTAAAACCCACAGTCATCCTGTAACCCTGACATCCTGCAGTGCTCACGGTGCAATCTGTGGGCCTCGTCGTCCACAGCACAACATTGTAGATGGAACCAAATAATGGCAAATAATACAATGATATACTCTGAAAGCTCTTGTCCTGTTTATATGTTCAAAACAATACATTTTTGGATATGGACTGTTCTTCAAATGGCTCACAGCAGTTTGGTCCATTCACTAAAATCAAGGTTGTAGAGTAATCGCTTTACTTCTGCCACACAATAGAATAAAACAAGTTTCCATATCGGACTGCAGTTTGTTAGCTCCATTAACTCACAGTTTTTAAATTTATATCATCATTTATTTACCTTTTTACTGTTAAAATTAAAAATCTCTTTTACAAGAGTGTCCTGGCCAAGCTCAGCAGTGGTATCATAAACGAATTATGAACACGGCAAAAGACAAGAAACAGGTAAAAAGTGCATGATCGTAAAGCTCAAAACTGAGGAAACGTAGCTGATCTGTGTCAGAATAACTAGTTTAGGCAACTTTAACGATCTGCCTCCAGATCAGTTAAAATGGCCTTTTTTATAATTTAATGTGAGCTTTAAGTGCAGGTGCCACGAATAAGTCTTTGAACCAAAGACAATAACCATCTATAATTTCCTTCATGTGTAGGTCAATAAGAAAGACCAAGAACGGCCTTGTAAAAGAAGATTTTACTGATGCTTGTGTCTCCAGAAGGACAAAGCAGCCTATCCAAGCCGAGCAATATTCAATGAGGTGTAGAGACTCTAAGGTCCATCGTGAATCTCTGTGCACCATGACAGACAAATCCAGAACGTGTAAGCGTTGTGAGCAAGCAGGCATATAAACGAAATCACCCTGATCAACCAATGACATAAAAGTGGAATCAATGAGCCCCTCCTTGCCTCCATAATGTTAAAGGCCAGCCTCGTCTCTCAGTGAATCTTTATGGAGGGACGAGGACCCATTTGTAACTGGTTTGGACTGGTATTCATGAGGATTTCGATGCTGTTCCCGGCCCGTGGAAATGCCACAGTGGTCAGGGGAAAGATGTAAAGCGCTCAGGGATCTCTGGTCTGACGCCTGTGTTTCCTCTCTGTGCTCCCATCAGTGCCGGTGTGGGCCGGACGGGCTGCTTTATTGTGATTGACGCCATGTTGGAGAGGATGAAACACGAGAAGTCGGTGGACATATACGGTCATGTGACGTGCATGCGAGCTCAAAGGAACTACATGGTGCAGACAGAGGATCAGTACATATTCGTCCATGAGGCCCTGCTGGAAGCTGCAGTCTGTGGCAACACAGAAGTCCCTGCCCGCAACCTGTACGCCCACATCCAGAAGCTCACCCAGGTGGCCGCTGGAGAGGCGGTGACAGCTATGGAACTGGAGTTTAAGGTGAGCAGATCTGGACTTTACGATTGTACGGCTTTGGGCACTCAGTATATTTAAGGAAGCACTTTAAACACATACAGTAACTGCCTCGACTGTGCTTGGATTCAATGACAGACACTTTAAGTCATGGAAAAAGATGAGAGAGCAGCTGCACCTTTAGTTTCTTACAGGCTTTTCAGGATCATCACTGAGGAGAAGGTGATAGGAGTCCAACCCAAACGCCTTCTGTTGGGATTTTTCACTCTGTTGTGCAAACTCACTGCATTTCTGTCCGCTAGTAAACTAGAGGTCATTCCATAACAATGTACAGTACACACACTGTGTGTTACCATGTTTCAGTGCAAATTAAGAATAAAAGAAATGAGCTTTAAATGACTGCAGTGCTAGTAGTAGTCTCAGAGTCAGATTCACTACATGTAAACACTTTAATGCATCTAGAGAAAAATATTAAACAGGTTTTGGGGATGGGTGGATGGATCATTGTCACAACCATGCCATGAGGGTAAAAGCATTTTTTGTTTATTTAAATTGGAGTCCCTTGGAATACGGGGATCTGCAAGACTCATATCCATCCAGCCTACTTTAGGTAGATTTTAAATCATAAAGTCAGAATCAGTTACTACAACATTGCAGTCAGTAAAAGTATAGCTATCATGGCCTGGTTTGTACAGTCTCTCCAAATTCATGTAAATGTAATACTCAAGTGCAAGCAAAGGCAGAAGGAAGATTTTCCTTCTTCTCAGAGGAGAAGTTGTTAAAGCTTAACTTCTGAGCTCCTGATGAGGCTGGAGTAGAGGGAGCTGCAGAGGGAGAGCAAGAGCCAGGAAAACCGGGAGATAAGGTCATCCCAGGTTAGATAGTTTTATACGGGATGATCTGCAGCAATCCACTGTCTTCAACTGCTTTAGCAAAAGTGCAGTGGCTTAAGCAGCTTCTGTCCTGCAGCAGGGGGAATGCCCAGCATTCAGTATTATGCTGCTTTTTAATGCAAGCAGGGTGGCTGTAAATCTAAACAGAGCATGATTAGGTTTTGATCCTCAGTTCACTGCACTTGCACTTGCAGTGCAGAGGTCTCAAGTTGGTGCCTGTCAGTAAAGAAACACCTCCTCCCCACCGAAACTGAAAAGAAAAATTTGAGAATGAAATCATTCACGCAGCTAGGTTTGCATCCAAACATCTTATTTCTCTGGTTTGATCTGCATTGTCACAGGCCTGTCGGCTCACACTAAATGTTTCAGGATTTGTTTTGACTTTTCAGCATCTTCAGGATGAGCTTCAACACACAACAGTATCCGACATTCATTTGAAGTCAGAGAAAAAAAGGATCGTCTCAAAGTGCATCATTCTCGTGCATCAGTACGAACGTTAGCTCCTCGTGCCCTTTAACAACCTTGCTCACGCGCCACACTGGATTAGCACTATAAAGACCAGAGGCAGATGATAGACAGTGGATGCTGCCGTGTAGCTGCAATCACCTGTCCTTTCTTCTGTCTCTGCAGAAACTGGCCAACTCTAAAGCACATACCTCAAGATTCATCAGTGCCAACCTGCCGTGCAACAAATTCAAGAACCGCCTGGTGAACATCATGCCTTTCGAGTCTACTCGCGTCTGCCTGCAGCCGATCAGAGGGGTGGAGGGCTCTGACTACATCAATGCCAGCTTCATCGACGGGTACAGGTGAGCCCACAGAAATCACTTCACAGAAATGAGTAGTGCGGCGCATTTCTGCTCAGCTGCTGCACCTCTAATGAGCCGGGGGTTGGACCTTCTCTGTGGCAGCTGACAGCATTAAATTACAGGCTGACATGGAGTCCGGTGTTTCACCGCCTCACATCCCTTTGTTGTGTCAGTTGTCAAAACAAATTGGTTTTATTGACAGGCCTGTTCATTCTCCCACTTTTTCCACCTCTTGTGAATGGATAGGCTGTTTGAGATCAGTGACATGTCAGAGAAATGAACTGATTACACCAACAGGTCCACGACGCGACTGCCGTCTGTGTCCATGTTCTGTCTTTGGACATGAAGAAATCTTGAGGGTTTTCTACCTTTATAGAAGGGAAATGAACTGAGGAGACACTCAGCTTAATGCCTGTGTGATCATAGCTCAGTATGAAGGCCAGAAATCTGATCAGTCCTTTTCTTATTTCTATCAACATTTATGTGCAAAAACATAATGAAAACAGTTTAGGTTAAGTTTATTTTATTGTCTTCTTGGATCAAGGAAACACTGACATTGCAATAAAACATAGTAAAGTAGAGACATGCATGAATTTGAGATTCAAAGTAACGCTGATTTGAAGAACATGCAGTCTATATGCTTCATATTACTTATTCCTGTAGTCTGCATTTGGAGCTCTACGATGTAGCACGATGCCCAAAAGATCATGTGACAACACGAGTCATGATCGTCTCCACAGCTTTAGCCAGAACTCGTATGATCGCATGATGATATGGTTCAGGATATACAAAGTTGGTCACTTGAGCTTTGGGCTAAAATTCAACTCACAAACTTTCATGTTGTTGCTCAGATTTTATTCTGAAAGTTATGACGGCGAGTGATGATTCTCAGTCTGCTAACATTGTCTTCTGTTTACAGTAAGCTTACAGCTGCGAGATGCATCACTGAGCACTATCACAGTCCGTCACCTCCCCTTACTTCAGGTGTAGAAAGCATGTTTAGACAGTGCTGTTTATTTATAAGCACAGATGAATATTAAATTCTTTGAAATGGCCAGCAGGTCGTCGGCTGCAAAAAACAACTTGTGTTTGTATAGATTTCAGCTGGAAAATGACTCCAAAGTTATTGATGAGTGCCCTCAATGCACGGCCTTGGTAAACAGTTACCAAACTGAATACAACATGATGTTTATTTTCTAACATCTCTTCCCCAATCTTTGTCCAGAAACACGATAAACAGAGTGACTCTGACATTAGCCTAGCAGCATAAAGTGTCCCTCAGACTCTTAGTCACATTCAGCCCAACACGTCACAATGTGATTTCATAAACAGTACACATGTCTCTCACAACATTAGCACCGATATTGTCACACATCACGTTAATCACGGGCTCTTTTATGAAAAGACTTATTGAAAGTTTTCTAGCGCACTTTCACAGAAAGCAGTGGCTAATGAGTCAGGACTTCCCATTTTACATGCAGGGTGGGTGTATGTTGTTTTTGGCTCCCAGCACCTAATGAAGTCCCCTGAGTACCCCCCACCAAAGGGAGGCAACGGAAAGAGGCAGGGGTGTCGTGTAATTCCTCTCTAATTCCTGTGTCGGTAATTAAGAGCGGAGTGAGATTCGGGAGCTCCATCCCTCACTGAGCTCAGCCTTTAAAGAGCGAAGCATGGATTAGGATAGATTAAGGTGAGGGGAATGCACATGATTATGATGATTAGTGGACATGCCCGGTGACGTCTTTGTGTATCACCATTCGTTATTCTCCTACTTACTGCGCTGCGAGATACAAAGGCAGCGAGTGCTTACACCACAATGTTATTAACTCTGCATGAGTCAAAAGTTACAACAGTGAAATCTGCTTCCTGCTTAATTAACTTTTGATAGAACTCTGTTGTGGTTCTCACTATTAACTGTGAAATGCTTTAATTTGTCTAATATTAATGGAAAATCTATTCTATTAACTTTTCTGGGTTATTGATTTGGCTTTCGTTTCTGTCAGCGAGTATGCCTGAAACTCTTGCTTCATGTAGAATTTTAACTGGTTCATATTTTTTCATAATTTCAAAAAGATAAACCTTCACATATGCTATACTGATTACATACAAACTGAGGTATTTCAAAGGCTTTTAATGATTATAGCTTGTAGCTCAAGAAATTCAAAAGTCTAGTATCTCAAATTATTGAAATATTTCGGCTGCTTTTCAAATAATATGAACCACATATCTGTCAGTCTAGTTCAGCAGACACAATCACAGGGAAGTATGCTGACTTGAAAGTTGTCCAGGTGATGATCATCAACACCCTCTGCAAGGAAAGGAAGCCACAGAAGGTCATTGCTCAAATGGCTGTTTGCAGCGAGTATATTCATGAAAAGATCATTAAACCCAAGCGACAGATGACCACCGATTTTTGTGGATTATCAAGAATTTGGGAGCGCTTCATAAGTAGTAGAGTGAGGAACATTAAAAGCTGTCACACACAAGTGTCTTGAAGAAAAGTGCTACACCATCACAGTCCTGAATCAGAGGCTGCATTACTGCTTTTCTTTGGTGATTTGGGATGCCACGTCATCTGCTGGTGCTTTTTGCTTCACTGTGTTTTATCACGTCCAGAGTGAACACAGCTTGTACCAGGGTATTTAGAGCACTTCATGTTTCCATCTTCTGACAAGTTTTATGGAAATGGAAATTTCTTTTGTCCAGCAGGAGCCGACACCTGCCCACAGCGCCAAAATCACTACCAAATGCTTCGCTGACCAAATTATTACTGTGCTTGATTAGCCCGTCATTTGTTTGTGGTGTGAGGAAGATGAGAAATACTCAACCTTAGAAAAGAAACAAAAACAGAGAAGCTGAAGGCAGATAGCCAAACAACCTGGTAATAATAATACCTCAGCAGTGCTGCAAGCTGATGGCCCCATCACACAGCACAGGGATGCGATAATTCATGGTTAATGGTGTATTAAATAAGGACTATATTCTGCTGCACCCTTTCTGCTCTTGGCTCTGTATGATGGCACGATCTGATATGGTCGTGTTGGTGTTGTTCCCAGATCAACATAGTAAATGTTGTTCCAGGACCAATCAGAATGTTGTGACGTCATACTTTTGCGACTTCGGGAAAAAATGCCGTAAAACAAAAAACTGTACTTAAGCTGCAAGAAACCGCCTCTGTCCGCCGATCAACGGACCCTGACCCTTTAATAAACGCTGAGCAGAACTGATATTGTCCTTGCAACACTGGAACTTCATAAATGCACGAATGGCTTGGCGCGCCAAAGAATAACGTCAGAACAATGTGATTGGTCACTTGCAATGTTGATCCTGGATCAACACCAACACGACGATATCAGATCATCCCTGTAACACGACATATTATACATATGTTTAGATCAATATAGTCACAAAAGCTGCACCACATGTTGTTAAAGCCTTAGTCAGCCATTTAGATACAAGCTGCCTTAAAGGGGGGCTAAGCCAAGATAACAATAACAATGTAAATAAGGATTATTTTGAACTGCAAATCATGCAAAGCCACTCTACTCCAAGAATAGAAATGTGGAGCTTTCAGGCTTCCAACTTGCAAATGATTGCACACTGTTTTTATTTACATTTTAAGCAGCATCCAAAGTTTTGTATTCAATCCCAGGAGGCTTAAGTGACATCAGCTTAACATGAACATCCAGAGAGTTCTTAGAGACGGGCTGATACACGTTGGCTTTTGATTTTCTGCTGGCAGTAGAAAAAAAGGCAGAATAACTCCAGCCTTGTCTCTAAAACAAAGCTCTGAATATTAGCATATATGCTAATATTCAGAGCTTTGTTTTAGAGGGTTAGGGTTAGGGCTACTACAGTTTAGTAACATTTGGTTCAAACTGTTCTCGGTGCTCATCAACAATCTGGCTTTAACCAGCTGCTGCTGGTTAAATGCTTCAGTCAGTCAGCAGCGCTCAGCAGGTAAAGTGACAGCATCAAAATAAGCAGCGTTCGTTCCTATTTGTTTTGGTTGTTGTATTATGGAGTATTGAAATATTAGCTCCACTGCTTGTGAGAGGAGGACAAACATGTAGCCAAAAACAACAAAGCCTCCAACCACCAGTGTCACACAAGAGCACTGATATATACAGATAACAGAAACACACCCAGGCATGCAAGTCTGTGGGAATTACCTAGGCCCACTGTTATATGCGTCAACACTGCCCCCTGGTGGTGTCCAGCTGCAGAGGATCGCCTGGAGCCGGCGGAGCAGCTGGGGTGGCATCTGTCATTTTAACAGAGCTGTTAAAAAGGCTATGTGTTCAAGCAAAACTATTTAAAAATCAGCGCACACATTAGCAAGCAGCTGACTCATCAAATTTTCTTTAAAGGGGTATGTGAAATTAAATATTTAACACCTGAGAGGTTCGTTCAACACTTGTGGGATGTCATTGCCCAGAACTCTTGTCCGGATGTGGTGAAGCCGCAGCTAAATTAACTCTTTTATTTTTGCAGTGTCACGAATTGTGAAAAACCATGACTGTAATTCATAATGAGCATTTTAGGCAGATGTACTTGATCCATTGCACATTTTAATGGAGCAAGTTCTTGTTTTCTAAGGTATTATTTATCAGCTTACGTGTCTCAGAACCAGCCAGGCAAAGTCGGTCATCACCCGAAATACCCGGACCCCCAAGTTCCTAAAACCAAATCACAGATCTCTTTGGGAGCACTGAGTCGATCATTAACTGACATGAAAAAGCAGGTAAAATTAGTTCGGGGCAGCTGGTGATTATCTGGCTAAGCAAATCATACACGGTTTACTTTACTGAATCACAATCAGGTAAGAAGATGAGAATAAAGATATTTCTTTGCTTTCATTGGACTGTACATGTACGAACTCACTCGCAGCCTTGACAGATCAAACTAAACCTTTTCGATTTCTGTCCATTTCATGATAATATGAGTGGGCAACAGTGAGATTATTTAACTGCTGTCACTTTGCTTTACAGAAAGAAACCCAAAGTGATTTTCTGAAGCAGAGCTGAAGTGGAAGAAAACTGAAGCCAAATAGCAGCAGAGCTGCTGCAGCCCAGAGGAGTAAACACAGGCTCTGTGTCTCTGTTTCCATTTGCAGGCAGCAGAAAGCCTACATGGCCACCCAGGGCCCGTTAGCCGAGACCACAGAGGACTTCTGGAGAATGCTGTGGGAGCACAACTCCACCATCGTAGTGATGCTCACTAAACTCCGAGAGATGGGACGGGTAATACAAAACAGCTTCACCTTCTTTTATGTCACGTTGCACTGAAAACAATGCAAGATCTGAATCGTTTCTATACATCAAGCAGAAATCTGGAATGAAAGTGATGATAAAGGCTCCACAGGGAAAAGGAGGGCAGAGCATACACACATGTATATTTTTAACATGAGTAAAAATGCTTTCTTTTTTTTTAAGGAGCATGAAATGTTTCTACATTTTGCCAAATCTGGTTTTAATAAAACTCGTATACACTGAATTTACTGTTAATACAAAGTAGAATGACACTTCAAAGAGTATAATGATCTGTACGTAACACATAAGGCTCTGCTTGAAACATCTGGCTGTGGGATTTTGTACGATAAATATTTTTCAACTACTGGTAAAGACAAAGTTTGTCAAGGATTTAAAGTCTTTGACAAAAAGTTCAATATACTCCTAAATACCATCCAGTAATGGGTTTCTAAAGATGGTTGGATCAGTGCGTATAAAAGTGGAATATACAATTTGAATATGCAGAAAATATAGTGCTTTACTTAAATGAAGAAAGACGTGTTTTTATTCAGTAAAATTTAAGTTAATTTAATTTTTTTATTTTTGTCATTGTAACTTCTTGTTTTGTCTGTTTTTGCTTTTTAGTTAGGTATGAATCTATTATTTGATCATCACACCTCTCAGGTCCATTAAATATGCAGTCTTATAATAAACAGTAAAACAAAAGGCTGTTATGTGCAGTGATTTTATATGTCAACATGGATTTGCTCTGGCTGCTCATGGAGGTGGGTTGCAAAGCGGCTGGCAGCTTAAATAGTTCTGGGCTGAGCTGATATGGACGAGCTGTGAGATCAGCTGAGCTGACGGGCATGTAGCTGAGCTCGACGTTACAGCCTGCCTCATGTCATGCAGGATTTCTCCAGCTCTGTGTATGTTACAACATCGATGCATAGAGTTCATTGTCATATACTTTTAAATGTTACAAGAAACAGCCGTGTTGATGATTCATAAGGACATGCAGATACTCACATTTTGCTATAATTCAGCAATGACCTGCTTTCAACTGAATGCTCCTGTTCCACCACATCAGCCTTTGTCCAGTCTCTGTGTTATCAAAGTCCTCGAAGAAGCTGGTGCTGAAGTGTCACACTGCTTTTATTTCCTTTATCAGCAGACACTGGAGTTGTTTGCTGTGCTGTGAGTAAAAAGCGTGGTGGTCAAAAGCAGCCTGACAGCAACAGAAACCACTGCCCATTTCACACTAATCTGAGGCCTAATCGTTGCATTTTGGTCTCAGTGTTAAAACTCCAAGTCAGTTATGCATTTCGCGATCATCTTCTCTCCATCTTTCAGGAAAAGTGCCATCAGTACTGGCCTGCTGAGCGCTCTGCACGTTACCAGTACTTTGTTGTGGACCCGATGGCCGAGTACAACATGCCTCAGTACATCCTCCGAGAGTTCAAAGTCACTGATGCCCGGGTAGGTTCTCTTTTAGCAGCAGCAGGAATGTGACTGCAGATCACTCGTACACTCTTTCCAGCTGGTGGGGGAGGCAGGGATCGTTCTGTGTGAGCCATTTATCCTTTTTTCTTTCCATTTTCCTGCATATTAACCAGGATGGTCAATCGAGGACCATCAGGCAGTTTCAGTTCACGGATTGGCCAGAGCAAGGAGTGCCAAAAACCGGGGAGGGATTCATTGACTTCATTGGCCAAGTGCATAAAACTAAAGAGCAATTCGGACAAGATGGACCCATCACTGTTCACTGCAGGTAACTAAGAGCGTGTGTATGTTTGACCGTGTATAATCGGTTTGGTTGTCAAAATCTGACACCAGAAGCTTTAAGTGATACATTTCAGTATAATAATGTTAATGTATGTTTACCAGTGCTGGTGTTGGGAGGACTGGTGTGTTTATTACTCTGAGCATCGTTCTGGAAAGGATGAGGTATGAAGGAGTGGTCGACCTCTTCCAGACCGTCAAGACTCTCCGAACTCAGAGACCGGCTATGGTGCAGACAGAGGTATCAGTGTGATGCAGGGGCTTTCATCACAAGGGCACAGTCATAAACAGCACATAAAAGAATATAACACATCTTTTTGATTCTCCCCAAACAATAACATATCTTGGCTGTATCTCTAGCTACAAATTCAAAAAGCAACACAACATTGTGGCTTCATTAGTATCTGTGCAGACACAATCCACGTCTCTATGGCTCCTCCTGCCAGAGCAATAAACAAACATGTTGATCGACATCACGAAGTGCACAGAACTACACAGAACTGTCAGCTGTGCCACAATGCACAGCTGACAATGCACAGCGCAGATGTTTACTGGTTTATCTGTTGAATGGGTCTGTTAGTTCCACACCTCCACCTTATAATGTCTCTGATGTAGCCTTCAGATATGAAAAGTGACTTTGCCTTAAACCTGCATTATATCTCATGACCAGCAGGGGGCAGTCCACTGAACGCAAAAGCAACCCAGTAAAACTTTGTCAATGAGTTTAAGGTTTCAGTTTGTGAATACATTATGATGTTTAAATTGCTCCATTTAGAGTGAAACAGAGCTCAACAGTAAGAATCCCATCCACATTCTGATTAGGAGCCATAATATTGCATCCATCCAAAGTAAACTTGGATTGTGAAACAATGGCAGGTGCTCCTGTAAAAGGTCTGTGATCTCTGATTTGTGGAGGTCACAGTTACTGTGGAACTGTTTAAAACCACAAACGTCACATCGCTTAGTGAGTATGAAACTTAAGTCACCACGACTGTACCATGTTGAAAACAAGATTATCGATTGTATAATCTATTTATCAATGAATTGGTTTGATCCAAATCAAATCTTTTTATGATCACGATTCACCTCACCGCTGGTTGGCTTGGTTCATATAAGTGTTGTGTAGCGGGATAATTAACAGGGTATTTGGGGCAATTTTTTAAAACAACAGAAGGTCAGCCGGAAGCTTCAGAACAGGATTTATGTTTGTGACATATTTACATTATAAACTGCTGCTGCACTGCAGCGGCAAACCTGAAGTTCCTAATGAAAAGAAATCCACTTTACTGTACAACTTTGTCTCTGCTATAATCCTCCTTACGTGCTGATCAAAACTTATTCTGTGTCTCTAGGATCAGTACCAGCTGTGCTACCGGGCTGCTCTGGAGTACCTGGGAAGCTTTGATCACTATGCAACATAACCCTGCCCAGAAAGAAGCCCTCAGAGGAGATCTGTGTCTCTTCTGAGCCACATCCACTCTGCTCCATTGGCCCCTGCAGGCTGATGAGGAGGCTCTGAAGAGGACTGATGAGGAGATGACCACAGCAGGAATCAGGAGAGATTAATGGAAAGAGGAGAGGCGATGTGATGACCTCCCCCTCCTGGACTGGTGCCATGATTCTGCCACAGACCCCACACAAAAACCTCCCAAAAAACAACCCTGAAAGACTCGTACTGTACTCATGCCTCATTCTGATCCCTGCGACTCCCCAATTTCTGCCTCCTCAAAATAGCAAAAACTATTTTTCTGCTACTTTCATTTATATCCATCATGACTATGTTGTTAGCCATTATTAGAGTTTATTTTGTGATCACTTACATTGGTTACTATATGTCTTAATGGGTCTTTTCTTAATTTGCTTCTCTTATTTTTCTTAATTTTTAATAGAGGACATGTATTTTCAACATGATCCAAGTCATTAATACTGGACGCCGTATATTCACAGCTGCTAATGATTTTTTTATTTTATACCACAGATATGATATTCTAATGTTTATCGTTATTCGGTTGGTCTTATTTAGAGGGAAACTTGGAGAATGATGATCTCTACTAGACAGATCAACTGAGCAAATAAGGTTTGTGACCTGCAGTATGAAATACATCACAGCTATAAATGTGCAAAGACTCATCACATCTGAAGAACTGCAAGCATGTACAGCGTTTTTTGTCATTAAATAATGTTCTCAGAGTCTTCAGAGATCTGGAGGCTTTCAGCAAAAGAATAATGAAGCAGTTGGAAAAGTTGTGGACTCAGGTAGACTAACACAGATGGCCTGTTCATGAGTGTTTTTGTGAAATAAGTGTGACGTCAAATGCAGAGCTCGTGCTCCACACGTAAAAAATGAAATTCTGACACCTGGAGAGAAAAAAAGAATAAAACCCCAACATCAGAAGATCCTCTGTGAGCAACATTAGTAACAGTGAGGACAAAAAACTACCTTTTAACAGGAAGAGACCTCTCACAGAGCCAGGCTCAGAAAGGAGCAGCCATACACAACTGTCCATTGGAGGAATGAGGGGAAATAGAAGCGAAAAAAGGGATCGTGAAAATGAACAACAGACAATATTCTGGGATGAATTTTAATCAGATTGGTTTTGTTGCTTCTCCTTGAAGGATTAACTTCACTCTTTATTTCTGTTATTGTCAGCAAATGCCATAAAAACCCAACAGCACAAGTTACACACTGCAGTGTAGGGAAACACAGTCAGGACCTCTGGTAGACTTTCTTTGCTTAGCTGTGATCAGCTCAAATGTGCTGCTGCTGCGACGCCAGTACTCGCTGCTCTTTGTGGATTTACACAACTGAATTCAAAACGATATCAGGTGATGTTACATGAACCCAGATACTACAAAGCTGGCATAAAGGTGAAATTCAGTGAGTGAATCACCTTAAATTTCATTTGATTTCTGCTATCTCTGATATAAACCAGCACAGACTGTGGCCACTGCAGCTTCTCTGCACAGTCAACATCATGCATTACTGTGAACATCACCACAATGCTGCAAACTAACCTGTTTCACCTTGCACTAAACTGCCTGGTATTTTTATGCAATGTTCAAATAACACAAAGTTAGTAGACTTCAATTTGCTTTAAAGGATGTTTTAAATTTAGGGAGAAAAAATGTCACATAAGCATTGATCTGATATCTGGAAATTTTAAAATGGCTTAAAAAATGACATGTAAGCAGTGGTGATGGCGCCATGTTGCTCAAAAGACAACAGGAAGAGTGTTTCTGCACAGCAACAGAAATCAGCATAGTTAAAAATTACTATTAACAAGAGATTTGTGTTTGAGACTTATTGGAGTTTGTTTTGACATTTAAGTTGAAGTTTAGGCTAAAATAGACTTTTATAATAATCAGTACACGTTACCAAGTTCAGCTTTCTAGCCTGCTACTTTTTCACATGACCACAAGAAACTAGAACGCACTCTCTGGCCTGATGTGGCTCTGTGGGATTGTTGAAGAGGCAAACTTAAAATGCCAAGAGCCTTACAGAGGCTCAACTGAGGGGCAAGCAGCGTGATACGTCTGGGGCTACAAATGTGCCACATGTTTTATGACTGGCAGATCCTGTGTGGACCAGACATGGATAAAAGTCATGAGATGGGCTTAACATTAAAACGAGTGTTGTGTGGGCCAGATATGACCCAAATGTCCAACAACAGCTGGCATCTTGTCCAAATAAGGTGGACCTGTGGCTGAATTTAGGGAGGCAGACTCAGCCTGAGTCGGGTACATCACCCAAGCCTAAATGCAGCTCATAGAAAATTTCCTGTGGGCCAAACATTTATTGGTGTCTGGATATGAGATAAATAAGGATTTTTTTTTATTGTAAATCATTTAATGCTCCTGTATTGGACTACAAACTTTTCAAAAACTGCAACAACAACAACAGGGAAATGCTTCTAGAAATAAGCTAAATAGGCCCTCCGTTAACATTAGGGGTTACTAATGTGAAAAAGCTCTGCTGTGACATGCAGCCTGGTTTCTGACGCTCATACTCATTTCACAAAGATTCTCCACATTGTGTTTGTACAAAAACAGCCCAGTTGTTGTAAAGCACACTGAATATGGACTCAACATCCTACAGTACAAGACAGTCATATCTCACATATTCACTCATCTTTGCATCTGCATACATGATTTTACATTGACAGGATGCATTTAAACGGGATCGCCACCACAGATAACTCACCTCTTTTATCACTGTGTAGCAGGCTCAGAGAACAACATCATTGTTCATTGATGCATCTCTGCGTTTTTCATTGAAAGATACAGTGAGGTGGCTTTTGAATGATGCAGCCCACTTAAAGGATTCATTTCTCATAGTTGTGCTGTAGGGGTCCTAACTGTTGTATAAACGATCTGTTTTCTATTCAAAGCAGAGAAAAAATGTCTTCAAAATCTTGATGTTAATAAAGTTGAAATGTTGGGTTTTTCATATAAAAGCAGTGACTTCTTTCAATTTTTATAAAAATGTGACGTGAGGTGACACCCGGTGGACCAAGGGGAAACAAATATGCTGTGCTTTGCTGTCCTCGTGTGACTGTTTGGTGTTGTTTATTTTAAAAAATATAGAAGTAAACCTTCATTAAAGTAAATTTAGGGGATTTTCTTTATGAAAATGACATTTCTGCAAATTTCCTGTAGTCTAAATTTTACCCAATAAGAACTTTATTTTGCACAGCATCAAAAGCATCAAAAGTAAAAGTACTGGAGGTGTATAAAAGGAAATCCTACAGTCACTTAGTAATAATGACTGAAAAGAAGCGTTTCTCCAGTGGAACTTTTTATCTTCTCTGCATTGTTACATTAGAATGTCTGGAGTAAAAAGACAGCAAAACAGTACAAATTTATCATAAATGCAGTGCTTTCTGGGCACCCGTGTACTGAGATATCGCACCCTGACTTCCTTCTTTTAACAAGGCTGTTTGGTTTGGCAGTCTTCCTACACAGTAGCCCATTCCACAGCTGCAGACTTCCTCCTTCATGCTGAAGAAAAGCAATCTCTGGATGACTGCTCTGAATAACACTGGATGGCTGCAATGGCTGTTACTTCCGATTTCACCCTTCCAATAGCGTCATCCATCCTGGTCCCTTTGTAGATCCAGCTTACTTAGCAGGGCCATTAGAGAATCAGAATCAGAATACTTTATTGATCCCTGGGGGAAATTATTTTTTGTTACAGTGCTCCATTTTAAACCAACATTAAGACAAGACAGACAATACACTAACTATCACCCAATGGGAGTCTGGAATAGCAGAGAGTGATGCACCAAGTTGATCAGGACCTCATCAGGTCCTGATGAGGTGGTGAATTTAGCACCACATGGAATTTATCAACCACAGCCCATTTTACTCAAGATGATCATTTCTTTCAGAGTTCCAGAACCTCTCTGGGTATTCTTGATAGAGTTGGATGGGTGACGAAACTTTTCTCCCACTGAAAACGCTACATCCAAATGAACAGAATCAAACTTTGGGGATTTACTTAGCTGGATGATTGAGCATGCATCAAGATACAGTTTACATGCAGTATATAGGACTTCAGGTCAGCAAAGGCCAGGACGTAGGCCACGTGTGATGTCCAAAAGGCTCTGATTTCTTAAAATAGATGGTCCTATGTGCTGGAGTTTGCTTTCCTCGGTGTGCTGGAAGACAGCATTTTGTCAGAACTGTCAAGACTCGCACAAAAACTGAGTAACTGATAATAAAGCACTGATAATTCAGAAGGAACAGCCATATACAGAAACCCAAGAAGGATTATAGGGTCTTAAGATCAGTAGGCTGGAGCCACTAAGTTATTGCTTCTATTTTTCTTGGCTGGTGGCAGACACAATGTAGCAAATGTGCTTGGATACAGTTTTACAAACTTGGAACTTGTCAGTGGACACCTTCAAATCATATTCCTGAAAATCTGAATCAGAAAACTTTATTAATCCATCCATCCATTCGCTTCTGCTTATCCTTTTCAGGGTCACGGGGGGCGCTGGAGCCTATCCCAGCTGTCATAGGGCGAGAGGCGGGGTACACCCTGGACAGGTCGCCAGTCTGTCGCAGGGCTAACACACAGGGACAAACAACCATTCGCACTCACATTCACACCTAGTGGCAATTTGGATTATCCAATTAACCTATCCCCACAAGCTGCATGTCTTTGGATGGTGGGAGGAAGCCGGAGTACCCGGAGGGAACCCACGCAAACATGCAAACTCCACACAGAAAGACCCCGGCCTGATGGTGGAATTGAACTCAGGACCTTCTTGCTGTGCGGCAACAGTGCTAACCACCGTGCCACCGTGCTGCCAACTTTATTAATACCTATGGAAATTATGTGGTTACAGTTGCTTCAAGGCAATAACAGTAAGAGACTGAACAAATTGCAAAGTTAACAAAATATAAGAAATAGCTCTAATATATACAAATAACTCAATTATAAATATACAGAATATCACAGAAGTGAAATATTTACGATTGATATTTTACATTAACCTGTAAAGCTTTGCTATTTGTTATTTTACTGTGGAGGATGTGCAAAAGGGTGCAGCTATTACACTGTGTACTGTGCATTAGATAGAGGAGTTGGAGATGGATATGGCCACAGGCAGGAATGATTTCCTATGTCGTTCAGTGGTGCATTTGTGTAATCTCAGTCTCTCACTAAACGTGTGTACTCCGAGGTATTTATAGTCCTCGACGATGTCCACATCGACCCCCTGGATTGAAACAGAGGTCACAGGTTTCCTGGTCCTGAAGTCTACAGTCAATTCTTTGATCTTTATCACATTGAGCTGTAAGTGATTCTCCTCACACCGCGTGCCAAAGGAGTCAACCACAGCCTGGTACACTGTCTCATCAAGCTCACTGATGCATCCAACCACTGAGTCTAAGGCATCATGGGTTCTTGTACTTATTTAGAATGGTCTGTAATCAATATACATCCTGATTATGCAATTTTTCCCCCTTGCTACAGCAATTGGGGATGCAACTCCTTGATTACTCCAGCAGCAAGTACTTTTTGTCGGTGGAACCACCTGTCGTCTATAACTGTTGGCACAAGGCACCTTGATCAGGACGATGTAAAAGCTCAAAGCTCATTTACTTACTAATGCTAGTTGTATTTCCACACAAAACACAGATTGTAACTGATCTCAGTGGAAGCCTACCCAGTGGCTTCTTGCCTCACAATCTGGTTCTCATCAGTTTACCATCAAAGGCCAAAGGTTTATCCACAATAAAAATGTGAAAAAATGAACATAAAAAAAGCTGCTGGCCTCTCACAACCGTGACATTAAAATAAAACATCAGAATCTCTTCAACTTACTTTTAATGTCTCAAAATGGGAAACAGGTGTTTCATCAGCTGAGCTGTCCGTAATCAGAACAGCAGGAGGCGTGGTCTGGAAACACAGGGCGTTGTGATTAGCTGGGAGACTATGGTAGCCCCGCCTTCATATGCGCTGTGTAAACAAACACACACTGGGCATGCGTCACTGTAATAATGGAGGACTGTCTTTTCTAGCCGGACTGATGTTGTCCGTATTGCAACTCTGTTACCTGTGATCGGAGAGCAAACAACTCCCCTTCATTTCAGCGTGTGTAAGTTAAAGTTTGTCACTTGTGAAGCGGCTCACTTTGAGGGGAGCAGAAATAACTGTTAAGTTTGCGCATGAGAAACTAACGGTGAGCAACAAGCCATGTTTGCTAGTTGGTTAGCAGCTGTCAGATCTCCGAGTCCGCAGCACTTCTGCTATTAACTTCTACCAGTTTTGACGGTAGGATCTGCGCTGTCCGTAAATGTTGGCTACTTAGTGGTTACTTTTGAACATTAGGGTGTTTTTGATTTTTGTTGACTTAACTTTTAATTCTCGGGTCGCAGAACAAGCTATGCTGCAGATAGCATTTTAGCTAGCGGACTAGCTAAATATTTTTCCGAGGAGATGCGCTGTAAGTGGGCTACCACGTGTGAGTGACGTTCTGCTGAGCCAATCACATGCCGAAGATAAGACTGAGTCGGGACTGTGTCCAATCACAGAGGATCTCCGAGTCTTCCAGTAAAGTCCGTTAAGACAGAGTGCAGCGTTGCCTTTAGCTAAAAGTTCAGTATGTGTGTAATCGGAAATCGATTTTTGTGATACACATTGTTCAGTTAAACTAATTACTTCGGGAGTTTACGTTATTATTCTGTTAAAGAATAAACTAATCAAATATAGTTTATTGTGTGTTATTACTAAAGGTGGAGGCTTGGTTAAAGTTTTTTTTGAATTCACAAACCTGAAACGAGGCTGTAGATGGTGTTTGGGATCCGTGTGTTTATGTTCTGGTCCCAGTCTGGGTGGATGTTTTGCTGGGAGTGCTTTTGACTGAGGAGAGGTTTTCAGTTTTCATGAAGTTAGGAAAATGTTCACAAGCAGACAATAATGTAAAATTACAGAAGTTATTGCTGCGATGCTTGGTATAGTTCAACTTGGTGATATGTCCGAAACTGTGTTTGTTGATATAATTAATTATCACGAGAAGTCTCAAATAAGCATTTATTTCTAGTTTAAATGCTTCAAAGTGCGAATTGTTACTGGGTGTGGTTGTGGTGCCTTTGTTGAAACTGTAGTGCCCAGCACTGCTATGAGGTTGTGGTTTATTACATCCTGTGTAGAGATTTTAATTTGAATTATGATTATGGCTTTTAACAGTTATGAAAACAAGCTAATCAGGATAAGATTACTCTTTTTTTTTTTTTCATATTCATTTGAAGATTTTGTTTTGTCTTTGTAGTAAAATGAGACCAGATACAGCCTCAGGTCAACGCAATATTTTCAGAAGTAAAAGTTGCAGAAAGGATCTGTAGCATCATTAATGTTTGTGTGTGTTTATATAAAGCATTTTGGTTGGTTGTTAGCTTCAGCTCTACTTAGTTCTGTGTGTGGAGACCAAGCATCTCTCCTGAGGTGTGTGAGTCTGCTGCTGTCTGGGCCTTTTTTAGGCCTTGTCTGCACCCAGAGAGATCCCACTGTGGAAGCTGTGGGCCAGCAGGTATTGACAGTTGCTCTTGCGAAACGGCCTTTGTGGTCAAAACACCCACTAGTCGGGCAACAATCAGTCCCTGTGAGCTTGACTTTTTTATGTATTTATGTAGTTTTTTTATTGACTTTTCTTTAAAGTTAAAGGGTATCATCTATAAACAAAGAAAAAATTTTAAAGGCCATAAAAACTGGATATTTGACAAATTAATGACTTATCACAGTAAATAATTGACCAAAATCATTGTTTTTGCTGTAATTGAGCAGCCTTGTTCCTGTGTGCTGATTTCAGAAGGTTTTAGGTTTTATCATAGATAACATTAGTCTTTGTAATGTAAAAGTTAAACTGGCTCCAAAGTTACACAGAGTATTTTTTTTTGTTTGTTTTTCAAGTTTGTATTAAAAAATTGATGTTCTGGTTTTATCACCTGG